GACAGGGATGTAATCTAATGACTATGATTAAAATCATCTTATCTCTTCCTGCTGAGTTGAACAACTCAAAAGAGTTTTAACTCCTTGACTAATTCAATTGAACAAAGAACTGAGTTAGGTTGAATGAAATTCAGTTGAGTTGTAAAACACTAGAAGTCAGCTGGACCCAGATTATTACTAAACAAACTTACGTCTATTCGCCACTCGTGCATAAGCGAGACTGAGGGTGGGGGCCTGAGGGCGTACAAACATGTGGACACGTCACAAGCGCTTGCGGCAAATCCTTTTCACTTGGGACCAAAAAACGACACTCGATCGGATCAGCTAAAACGCCGTACCCGCGGTTTTTCAAAGATTTGTTGAGGTTTGTCAGGCGTACGGACGAGGCATCAAACAATTACACACTGTCTACAGCTCGAAACCTCAGTATGTGTATTATGAGATCTACGTTGATTTTATCTATTTTTATCAAAAACGTCAACGACCAGGCATCAATGTTTTCTCAGCGACAGCGTAAGTATTCGTTCGTATCCAAATACCCGAGTGCCGAATTTTCGATTAGTCCCAAACTTGAATGGGAAAATCTTAGTTCTCTCTCTATTCGAAAAAGTATCTCCCATCAAGTTAGCATCAAGTTGGATATTAAGGGGAGGCTGAATAGGTAACTGACAACCAGGATTGGTCAAATACGTAATTTGAACTTAAAAACAATTTGAATTTCAAACATTAATTTCTCTTTTGTTTCTAAACTAATTTACTGTAATAGGAATACAGAAATGTGGTGTAAAATTTAAATAGTTTCTAACCTCAAATTGCGTATGTGATCAATCGTCCGTGTATTTGACATAGTTGACAGTTATCCAGACAGCTCCCCCTTAAGCTGCTCGTCCACCAAATCGAAGCAACGCAAACGATCCGCTGAGAACGGGAAGTTTTTCTTTAATTTTTTACTGCTTGCTGTTGAATTCATGCGCGTCGGCGTCGCTTCATATCATTGTAGTGCACTGGTTTAACGTTTTTTAGCAATTTCCGCTACCAAATTTATATTCCCAAAATCATGATGCTTCAAAAACCAATGTGATCCAGAACGATACTATAAATCATCGCGCTTATAACGAGCAATATTTTTCTAGACTGGCTTTTTGACATTTATGATCTATTTTCATGTAGTGCTGTCAGATTGCCAAATTCTTGGAATCATACTTAACGCAATATAATGTAAGTATGTAAGTAATGTGAGCTGCTGCGATGTGTACAATTTCGTCAGTAATTCTTGCCTGATTGTGTAGTCGTTTTGACGAGAAACTCTGAGATCTCCATTAGTTATTGTGCGGAAAGTACAAGGTAATTCCATCTAATGTTTTTTCATTTGCTTTCAGGAAGAATGCATGACAATTTCGTCAAACGGTTTGTTCGTACAGTGGTTGGTGACTTATCGTTGATTGTATCTGGGATCCGGCCGTGTGAATTTCGTCAATACGGTGACGTTCAAATTTGGCTGACGTCGTAATGTGTACGAGAGAGAAGCGTCCAATATGTATGATAGAAAGAGTACGCCGAGGTGCTTCTATCTCTCTCTAACATACGTATTGCACGCTTCTCGCAATTGGTTTTCAGGGTATAGCATAGCAGAATGAGCGAAATTTGAGTGGCGGGATCTTGGACATGGTCATTGACAGGTTAGCGACTTCTGTACGAAAAGATATATAGTATATTCCAAATCCGATTTTTCAGACTTGAAGGATTGTTACTATTTGATTACTTTGATTGACCCAATGGAAACTCATTATCATTGGTTATGTTCAATTACACTGCATATGAGTAAGTGCTGTGTGAAATCTAGCTTAAGCCTAGTCTGCTAAAAGTGGTTACTAGTATGAATTTAAATATAGACTGTTGACTTTGTAATTGTATCTTGTGCTGTGTGAAATCTAGCTTAAGCCTAGTCTGCTGAAAGTCTTTACTAGTATGAATTTAAATATAGATTGTTGACTTTGTAATTGTATCTTCCAGCATTATATGTGTTATATTGAAGATCATCAATGGTAAATACCAATCATATGCTCATGTAAGTTGTGATAATAACAGTGACAAGCATTGGAGACTTGTACACTGAAGTGAGACAGACCAAACAGAGATGACACTGTCAAACCAGTGCATGCCTGGCTTACTTCAGGGTTCAAAAAGCACAGCTAGCTAACCTTGATCATAACCTCAAAAGATGACATCTTTTACCATGGAGCTATAAACTTATGACTCAACACTTTTAGTTTGCTGACTTGATTGCAAGAATACAAGTGTAATTTAAAAATCTCACTTTTATTAGGACAAATCTCACTCAGCAGAAGCTGGTCTGTTGGTAATACAATTGGGGTAAAAAGCGAGAAAGAAATCTCATCTCATTGCAACTTAGTTAACCATTATACACAGCTCCATGAACTAATTACTTTCTTGGGTGTAATAGCTTGATTTACTTATAAGCATTGATGTTACAAAAAAGTCGAGGATACTTTGTTGGCTTATGCTTGAAATGATTAGTAATTAGGGGTAGTGTAAACAAGGCTAAATTAAGAGGCAAAAAGGTGACAAGTTATGCTGACAAGCTCAATAGGCAGGCAACATATCACATCATACATCAGTTCTCAGAGGAATTAGTGTAAGGTGGAACGTGGTGTTAAAATTTGATTGCATGTGATCCTAAAGAAGGATTAGGTCAAAGAAAGCATCACTGCCTCTTCATTCACTTGAATATTCTCGAATCTAATGGAACTGTAATTCTGGGATAAATACCAATTGCTGGAAAAAAATATTGGAAGACCCACCTTCCCCAATATAATTTAATGCAGGTACCCACGGAGTACTCAGTTTATACCCAGTACTACTACTACTACTACTACTACTACTACTACTACTACTACTACTATACTTGGTCCATTTTATCAAGTACCCAGTTTCTTACGTAAACTCCTCCCAAAGTCAGGTCAGAAACCTATATGATTTCATTTCAGAGTTTGTGATGGCCATGACACAGCAGTGACTCTATTATACAATTTTTAAAAATATAAGCAGCTTGAAGTTTATCTCACAAATGTGCTTTTTTGTAATGGAAGGCATTGATAACAATATCAAAAACAATTTTCAATTTTAACTCAATCATGCAGCTGCTGAGTTTCAGAGTGAAAAACATATGCCTAGCTGGTCAAGACTATATAGATCAAAACTTCTAAATATTCCTAAATGCACTAACCTGCAATAGTTTACCCACAAAAAAAGTGCTAAGCTGCACAACTGTGATTTCTTGGAAAAGTAAATCAATTTTGAGAACACGGGCATGCCAAAAATGCAAATATAATCTTAATATCACAAAGAGTATGTGAAATAACTTGGAGCAAATTGCTCAACAAGTCCCCAATACTTAGTATTTGGATCTGACTGAGTACCCAGTACGTGGCCTTTTGAAAAAAATTGTACTCTGTGCATTCCAAAATAATGGATCTCCACATTTAAATGCTTTTATTCTTGGAAAACAGCCAGATACCTACTTTACACCAAGAAAATCTCAAATATTACTTGATGGAAACATTTTTGTGAAGTCAGAAAATAATGAAAGTAGATATGCTGAATTATTATGTTCAATAAAATAATATGAAAAAGTAGGGCATTGAGTATTAAATTCTTTCTCAAAACTGAAAAATATAACAATTAGGTTGGTATTCTGAGTTGCTAAGGTTATAGTAAATGTGATAATCTCTGCAAGAATGATTAAAAATATTAAGTAAACTATAGTAAGCACTAAAATTCACTTAACTTTGAAGTTAATTCTTCCTTTTAAAAGGTTATGGAGATGCTCACTAGCCTTGTATTGAGGATTTATGCAGGATGATCTCAGAATTAAGATTCAAAATGCCTGATATGAACACTAAAGACCATCCTCTTGACAGGATGAGCCATTCCTCCAAATAAACAGAGTTTGATTAACATTTTGATTTGTCTTCTGTGGGCAACCTCACACTAAAGCAAATGTCACACATCATATTTTCACACATTGAAAGTAGATGATCATAGACTCAAACCTCTACAATATAAATGCCTCATATTTGAGATTACCTGTACCTTATTTGGTATAAGCTGTATATTTTGAAAAGTATGTGGCTAAATACCAGAAATGAAAAGCATCTTTTGTTAAGTCTCCATACTTAGCTGGCCAAATAAAACCATAGAGGGTGGAAAGATTAATCAGCTTTCATTTTTACATTATGTGATTTTATTTGGTCAGCAGGTCATAGAGAATAGAGATTGATCAACCAAACAACAACAGTATAAGTTTCAAATACTAGATGCTTTGTTATCAGTAACTAAAATAACCAGATATATTGGCATAATGTGTTTCAAATATATGAATGAGATGAATCACAAGTATTACTATCAAGTTTCCATTATCTATATTATACATAACAGTTTCAGGAGTATAATCCTCACTCAAAAGTCTATGTTTTTTATAATTTATGTAAAATACTTATCATGACTATATAAACTTGTTACATGCTGTCTTTAAAGGAATAGTCAATATATGATGTATATTTGATTTTGAATCACCTGGTATACAAACAATAACACCATGTTGAAAAGTAAATGATAATGGAATGGATAAGTTACATTTGAAAGCATACATTTACATTTAATACATTAATGTAGATCAATCAAAGATAATATTGTGAACAAAGCACAATAAAGAGGGCATTATATGTGTACAGTCTCACCTAAAGATATAATAAATATATGACAAAATGATGCAAGATTCCTGCTTTGGAATTCTGAAATTGTTTACACAAGTAACAAATTACCTAAAACCAGTGTATATAAATATAAATATAAAAACGGGATAAGCTTGCAACGAATTTCATCAGTTCACTCAAGGACAACGACTCTTGCAGGCATGAAAATGATATTTCATACAAGTAATCTGGTATACAAAAATTTATGAGCAAACAAGTACTTACTTTTAGCCAGCCTCCGTGTGAGGTAACCAAACTGTACAAAAGATACAAGTCAACCTCCTTACCGCCTATGGAAGGGGGTCTTTTGTATGGAGTTCTGCAAAAAAGGGATCGGTCATTAGACTGAGGATTTCAACTGCCGGGCTAATCGTATAACTTACCCTCTGGTTTCATGGAAATGTTGCAGATCGCGGAGGAACCCATCGCGCTCCTTGGAATACGTGGCCGGGTCCTTGCCAAGGATATTGGCCATCGTTACGCGAACTGTTTACGAGAAATCGGCGCGAGGCACGTGCTACTCGAACATGACCGGCGTCATTCGCGACCCCGGGCGCTACCAGGACAGTCCCTAGACCGTTCAGTCCACCTCCCACAAATGGGGATGCTGCAGATTCATATAACGTTTGCCAGGCGATCTGACAGTAGACGACTCCCTGGGCTAGCACGACGTTGCACTCACTCAATACCAAGAACGCGTAAAAATATCGCGTGCGCGTACATTTCACGCGGTTTGTCGATAAATACACCCCATTTTTATAGGGATCAGTTACTGTTCGGAACGTCTACATTGATTTTTTCACACATTTTCTTCACGGTTTTTAACCCATGATGCTTGGGAACACTATTACAACATGGCCGTCCATACTTGATGCCCAATTATTTCTGTAGACTACTGCAGGTAAAGCGGTAATGTTCAGGAATAGTAACGATTACGCGAGAGATGACGGGGGAAAATTTCACACTGAGCGCCAACAACCGAATTTTCTTTAAAGCAAACTTTTAACATGGCAAAAACCACAAAATTTCCATGTTGACAACAATTTTCAAACGACAATTATTTAGTTTTGGCGCGACATCTACAGAATTTCCCAGAAACTAAAACCGCTTTCCAATCCGGCAAATCATAGCCCAGTCATCAAGGTAAAATGAGCAAGCAACAAAGAAAAATTAGGCCCAATGCACGAATTATGTTATCTGACAAACGGATGCATATTTATGATATTTTTTTCAACAAAACAAAGCTTTGTTTTTAGACCTGTTCTTTTCAATGTTTATCAAAGTTCAGGCATCAAAAGTTCAAAGTACCATGGAACATTTTTGGTAGGAACCTACTATACAGAGAAATCCAAATATTACTGATGCCGTAATGTGTACGAGAGAAAAGCGTGCAATACATATGTTAGAAAGAATGCGCCGATGGCAACGCGGCAAGCTGCGGCTGTGGCCTCGTCATTTGGGTTGCTAGGCAACATTGTGCTTCTGCCTCTTTCTCACATACGTGTTGCATGCTTCTCGTGCTTCTCTCTCGTACACTTTACGACGTCAGTGGTACATGGATTTCTTTGCATACCTACCACGACCAAGGCCCGAACGAAAAATGGGGTAGCTTTTGAAAATAGGGCCAGTGGTGTAGAACCAAAAATCGCTTTTAAATGACTTTCATTTATACTTTGTATTTTTTACACATTAAAACATGGCTATTGTCAAAGCAGCTTCGGCGCCGCGATAATCCTGCTTATTATATATTATACCTGTCCTTATTCAAATATCCTCTAAAAGAGGTTTTTCTGAAATTGAATAGTTGGTGGGGGGTTGCGGAAATTTCATGGTTTTGGAAGCACAAAAAGTATCTACTATAGGGCCCCATAAACCGTGTTACTAGACCACCTTGAGTCGCGAGCACCCGCGGCCCAACGCACATTTTGCGTGGTGTGTGTCGTTCTAAGACCGCTTCTGGCTGAAATTTGTAAGAGGCGGGACACCGCGGACCGGTTTCACGGTCAAAAAATTAAAATTTAGGATCAATGAATTTAACGGAAAAAGAAACGCGATCGATCAGAAAGAGACAACCACAGAATGGGTTTCAAATTACTGCTAGGAGCAAATACATTAAAGCTTATATATAGTTCAGTAATATTAGATGGAAATTATGCATTGTTTAAAATAGTATATAGTTCTAGTTTTTCTATTTTTAAGTACTGGCAAATGGCAACATCGGCTCGATGACATCCGTCTTGCAGGATGTTTGATTTGATCAAGTGAAAAGTGGGGACAGGAAGGAAGGACAGGAAGTCACAGCGTTTCACCGCTAGATGGTCAAACTCTTAAGTCTTTCCATTTAAGTTCCCTATGATGACTGAATTGTGCCACAGATTTGAAACAGCCTGTGGAGACTCATGATTTACGAATGTGTAAATGTGTGATTTTAGTATTATTGGGACTGATTATTCAAAACTATTTCGTTTGAATATTGTTCGAATTTTAGTCAGTTTTCAGCTTACCGAAATATCAACCGTCCTCGAAGCGACCTCTTTGTAGTAATAGTATAGGTAACAACACCCGGGTGATGGGTGTCACTTTGTCCTCTGAAACAAAAAAGCAAGTTGCCACATTTATTTTGTGTCTCTTCAAAAAACGACGAGATGACGTTGACGTCGTAGATAGTAAGGAACGTAAGGTGTGGTTTGATGACCAGATGACATCCACGTGAGGAGTCATTCAATCGTTTATTGGTCCTTAACACTTCAATCTAACCAGAGGTGTTACGTCACATGTCACTTCTGACAGATAGCTAAATGTCAAGGTGTCCGTCTCTGTCTGTCAGGGGTCAGGCCATCAAGGATTGGGTTGAGGTTTGATTGAGGTATATTTTGCTTTTTGGTTTTTACTATGTTTTAACATTTTTTGTTAAATATTCCAGAGTGTTTTTTGAGGTGTAATGCAGTGGGTAGTTTTTTATTCGCAAGAACCTCTGTACAAAACGTAGTTCTATTTCAACAGCATTAATCAACAAAGGTACCAAAATTACATTTTTTCCAAATCTGTAATTTCTCAAATAATTTCATAATTTACAAGAGAAAATCTTGACCTATAGCAGGGGAACCTGGTACTACTTATAACTATCTCTTTGTACTTGTGCGAATTCAGTATTTCTTTCCTGAGAACTAATCTTTCAAACAAATTCCTAAAGACTGAAAAAAAGAGTCAAATTTTCTGTCTAAGATGTCGATGTATGCTTATATTTTCATGAAAGAGCAAACATAAATGTTTGCATACCATGTGCTTTATAATATTTATCTTGTATACTCCAATACATTACAAAAGATAATAATTGTACTATTGATTTTCATGCTTTTGTTTTTTTATAGATGTGTAATTTTTATTTTCAGAATGTTGTAGCCGACTAACTATTATTACCTATTCCATATAATTCTACTTACATCATGAATGATATTCTGGAAAGGTTGGAATCTAATAACAAAGAAGTAGTTGAAAATGTCAAGCAAAGCATACGAGAGCAATTTATGAAAGGTAATAATTGAAGCTTAAAAAGTTGCTGATCACTGTCACACTGTCAACTAACATTTTATTGAAAAACATTTTTATAAGATTTTTGTTAAGAGTTTCTAAAATTGAATAACCATATCAATAAAATGCATAAAAATTGACCATCAGTTTGCAGTTGATTTGTGAAAATGTTGAAAATACCTTAAAGCATGTTTTACAACCATTTAATTTTTAATGTTAAATATCATGTACCTTACATCATTAATTATTGTAGTTGGACATTAAACAGGCCCATAAAATAAAGTAGTGTGTGTGGGAGGGAGGGCACTATATTTTTTCCAACTGGACATAAATCTGAAGCAAAAATTGGGGATTTTTTAAAGCAGGGATACAGAATATATTTAAAACAGATACATAATTTTTAATTCCTTAGCAACATACACTTTTTATTCTGCTCCCTGCCTTCTTCAAAAGTCATTCTGAAAGGCATCAAGAGCTTTAGCCATTCTAGAAGGACGTTTGACTAATTATTCTCATTATCCTTTTTTATGAGATTGAAACTTAAGTATCCATTCAAATTTCAATTAAACATCTAGATTATTCAAAGAGGAACCTATTAGGATCTTGCCATGTAAGAAAATATATGGGTATAATATATACTTTGTGCAAATAAAACCAAATATTTATCCATTAGCATATTTTTCTTCTGTCAAAATATATACTGGTGAAAGAACTAGCTATATGTGTCATGAGCTGTGTGTGATAGATACCTGAGCTACTTGACATGAGTCCAAGGATCTCCTTTAGGGGAGTTCCAGTTTCAGGCCCTTCCTTCTACCATTTGATTATCCACATTAGGCTATTAAGTACCCTTTTGCTTTACCTCATATTAAAAAAAAAATGCAAAGTAATGAAAAATCTTGATGCGTTATGCATTTATCCATTATGGTTTGTTTAACTAGTTAATGAATCCTGGCTACTGAATGGCTTATATGATTACTACATTCAAACAAATTCTGAAAGAGCATTGGAGATAATAGTTAATATAAGGGAACCCCATTATGGATATTTATTTGATAGGTAAGTTATTTTTCCATTTACTTCATATGTCATTTTTTCAAAATGCTTTAAGATTTTTCGGAATCAGCTTTTTTAATTAAAGTGATTATTATATATATTTGTATCAGTCAATCCATTTTTCATTTGTTTTTAGTCTGTGATCATTTTTTTACTAAACCAAATTAAGAGTACATTGGAAAATGAAGGCTTATTAGAGAAACTACTGCAACAGAGTGATAATCACACATTAGACTAAATGAAGATCATTTTATATATTTCAGATTGTCAGATTCAATAAGGAGCTCAAAATTAGAAGCCAAAGTCCAGTCATTGACAGTGCTGGGGTATTTAGCACGTAGTCAGCCGACATGGTTATACAAAATTCAAGATCATTCATTATTGAAAGATATGCTAAATTTACTGAAAGTAAGTATGCATCCTAGCCTGCTACGTTTTTGTGATATTAAATACATTATCTAGAGAAGTTGGTTACTCCAGTTGCATTGATAGGCATACAGGACAAAACTTGTCTATTAAAAATGGATTTTTGGCTCATTAGTTTTAGAATAATCTGTATGAATCTATTTAATCTTTCAGAATGAAGTGGAGCTTCTACCATTGATAAGTGCACTTCTTGTTTTAATAGTGTTGTTACCTATGCTACCATCGACCATGGCATATTATTTAAAAGATATTTTTGATATATTCAGGTATGTAGTTTTTGGAGACTTCATCACTTCACACCTGGGACTCTAATACCATGCTACAGGCCATAAAAAATTGATAACACATATGTTTTAATTTCAGCCGACTGGCATCATGGAACTGCAATCCAGGCAAAATTGATGACCAACTGATTCATATGCAAGTCGCTTTGTACGCTTTATTTTTGAGACTGTATGGAATGTTCCCCTGTAACTTTATAAGTTACTTGAGGAGTCAGTACAAAGATAAGAATAAACCTGTATTTGTCCATACAATTAAGGTGAGTATTACTGTATCCTAAGTTTCAATGTGACTTGTGACATTTTTGTGGATAGGTATTTTAGCATTTCATTTATTTTTACAATTTCAGCCAATGTTACATACAGTTAGAATGCATCCTTCTTTGGTCACTGCTTCAAAAGATTTAGAAACAACTACAGAAAGGTTTGTAAAACTATAAATATGTTACATATATACAGGATAGAGTATTACTCCCAAACAAAAACTTTTCAAAGAAAACTATTTATGCGTTGCTCTCTTATTTATAAAATGTTCAGTATTTGACACGGCGGCGCAATTATGACGCAGATATCAAAGTCGTTTTTTTAAAACAGAACCCTAATTTTTATTTACCACATTCGGGTAGGCCCTTTTTCAAAAAGAAGATTGATATAACATATTTATGGGTTTTGATTGTTAGGTGTTGATTTATTAGGTATTTTATCTAAAGAAACAAAACTTGGACAGCTTGCAATCTGCTATCTTGACAAGTGTAGTGGAGTAGTGAATTTCATGTCACAAGTCTTGGTTATACTCAATTTTAACTTAATTCTCCAGTTTTATTAATACTTCGAATGCTCAGAGGTCGAAAACCAAAATATACTATTTCTCAAAAAATTATATCAACACCCTATCAATATGTATTCCATCATTTTTGGACTCCACTTTTAATAAGCTTTTTTCTTATATATAGAGATCAAGGGGTCTTGTCTATCTAGTTTTTCAGCTATGCTATAAACATGGACTTGCTTCGATTCCATTGGAAAGATTTACGTTTTAATGCATTAGAAATGTTCAGGTTTAATTATCAATCTGCTGTTTTTTTTTCATGGATAATGCGATTTTTTTGAGTTTGCGCATAAAATTTCAGTATGGACGCTGACTTTCTATGACCACTTTCCCTATTTATAATTAACATATTTTTTTTAAGGTGGCGAAAGATGAAAGTTCATGATGTTATAGTAGAGTGTGAAAGATTTAGCTTAGATTTAGTTGATAGATGCCCTCACGATACTTGTCAATATCCGACGGGGTTTAGATCAAGATCAGGAACTACAAATTCAACGATAGGTAAGAATCGACGACAAACGAGCTTTATATGGTTTATTAATGCACTACACAAAAAAATTAAGGCTTCAAGAAAAAAAATCCCTTGCATTATCTGTGTAATCACAAGTGGTCGATGACAAAAGGATCCTTTCTTTCAAAGTCAGATGTCTCTGCACCAAATGATCATATCGAGATTTAAAAAATGGTAATCGAAGCTTAATAAACGGGCTACCTGATCCATACCTAACAGAAAAAAAATGTCAAGCCCGCAGATTAAAAACAAGAAGGCAAAATTTTTGCAAATCATTTTCATTGAGATATCTGTTAGAATTGCATGAGACCTATTGCTCCTAAAATTTTTCGGTTAAACAACCTGAAAACTAGGATCTCAAAGCCTAAAAAATTCAGCTTATCAAAAATCATTTAAAAATTTGATTTTTTATGCTCCTTCAATTTTTTTGAATAGTGTATTTAGGAAGATTACTCCCAAGTTCAAAACAGAACCTAATGACTGCTGTTCATTTTTGCAACTTCCAGAACCTTCATATCAGCTGTCAGACCTAAAAAGTTTAGCCTTACTCCAAAAGCCGCCTACCTCAGACTCAAGAACTTTCTTTACTCCAAGCAGTGTGTTTGCCGCCCCGCCTATCTCAGAGTCGATTCCGACGAATGTCATGCGTCTGCAGGTACCTATGTGTTATATGTTTAGAATTTTGCTGCACACTTACAATTCACTAAATAAATTATTTGCTTATCCGTTAAAAATTTGTTTTCTCTTTACAGGATATGCCATCTTCAGGATATCCTCCAGAAGGCACATCTCCTCCAGAAGCTGCTATAGAAGCCACTCCAGAAACAACACCCATAAGAGTAAGTAAAAAAAATAAACCAGGAAAACTAGTACTTGATAGGTAATGTAAGACCTGAAACTTATCCTGCGACTTGCATGTAGATATAATTTCATGATTTTCTGACCATGTGTAGTTACATTTAGAGACCGTGAGGTCGTGAGCTACTGAGAGCTCACAGGACCCAAACTGTGAACACCTTCTGAAGATGCCAACCACTCGTGTTGGCGAAACGTGAAGTAAAAATAATTTACGACGGCGTAACTACCCAAAAACCAACCAACTAACTGCGGAAAAATTGTTTTTGTTGTCACCTGTTTTATTTCATTTTACACAACATTATTTTGTCCATAGTTTTAAGTTTTATTGACAATTCCTATAGGTTTTTGTAACATCAGCATGAAAATAAAGAATCTGAATTTGAATTCGAGATAGATATCATTGAATGTTAGCTAAGTGGGCTTAAATCATTCAAGTGAGAACTTTGAACTATAGAAAAAAATATATATGTGACTGGGAGTGTCATTCTCATTTTTTCCACAGGATTACCATAGCATCCCGATCCGCCAACCGCCAACCAGCTCTAACGTGGTCCGTGCTCTGACCTCCTTTGCTGTCTCCAAACCTAGATCCTCCCCTCTGGCTCCTACTTCTTCTTCGGGCACGCCCTCCCATTCTCAACCCTCTTCGCCGATGAGGCTCAAGGACAGTTCTGGGACCCACGGGGGACACGCGACACTCTTCACTTACCCATCCGCTTTGGTCAGGGATCATGGGACCAGCTTGCACACCAAGCAGAAAGTAGAAAAGTTGATGCTGGAGAGGATACATGTAAGTATTAGAACTCCAGGTTTTATAAAAAGTATTTATCCTGTCATGTCAGTATGCAAGTTCTGGTGAATGCGAAAAAGCTTAAATCAAGTAATACCTTCAAGCATGTAAACATGGTACAGGATCGCACCAAAAGGCAAATGGAGCTATATAAAAGTATCAGAACTGAGTTAGCCAGGCGTCATGAAGCAGGAGATAATAACTGTAGGATCAAGTTCATCAACAATGTACCAAGGATTGTTCCTTTAAACTAGGTCGGCCCAATAGTGGATGTAGTGATTTTTTGACAGTGTACTATCAGAATGTTAGAGGGCTAAACAGCAAAATTAACAAATTCTATCCTGCTGTGAGTGACTGTGAGTATAATGTATTTGCTTTAAGCGAAACGAGACTAAAGCCCGAAGTAAACTCTCTCGAATTATTTCCCAATTCTTTTGACGTTCATCGTAAGGACAGAAAACATAATCAATTGAACCTGTCAATGGGTGGTGGTGTACTACTGGCATTTGAAGCGGCTCTTAACTCTGTTGTAGTAGATACTACTTTTGAAATGTTAGAAAACTGGGAAATCATGCATTCCAAACGTGTTGTCTTTCTGGGTGATTTCAATTCTCCAAACTTTGTGGAAAATAATTTAAATGACGCAAAGACCCGCTACATTGTTAATTGGCTCAACTTCTGGAACATGAAACAGAATAATAATATTCATAACCAATATGATAGAATCCTGGACTTAGTAATAAGTAACATTGATTGTATTGTCTATAGAGATTTAGCTCCATTAGTGGATGAAGACGTGTATCATCCTTCTTTGTCCGTAGCATTAAAAACTGTCTGCGAAAAGAGTGAATACGTCACAGTCAGTACTGACCAAAAAAGATATAATTTTAGACGTGCTAACTTTTTTTCGCTGTACAATTCTTTGTTATTGGTTAATTGGGATTTCTTGGATAACACTAGTGACACAAATGATGCAATTAATGCATTTTATACCAAACTTTACGAATTATTCGATGCACACGCTCCACAATATAAAAATTTCAGGCATAAATATCCCTCTTGGTACACCAGTGAAATTATAAAACTAGTAAAACAAAAAGACAAAGCGCACAAAAAATTTAAAAGGTCTGGTGCTAACGAAGATTACCAATAATTCGGCTGAATCAGGAAAATATTTAGGCTTAAAACCAAAGAGGCATATAATATCTATCTTCAAACCATTCAAAATCAGCTAAATGATGACCCTAAGTCTTTCTGGTCTTTCGTACATAGTAAAAACAACACTTCTAGGATTCCCAATAGAATGTTGTATGGAAACGAGTCATTTGGTGATCCGCAAAGTATAGTCAACGCCTTCGCTGATTTTTTCTCCAGCGTTTACTCAACTGCTAAAGTCGATACTGAGTTGAACTTTGATTTCAGTCATAGTGGACTCGTCGACATTAGTTGTGAGCCAATATCAGATGAGGAAATTTTAGTGGCCTGTAGAAAGCTTAAAAGTAAATTGACTGCTGGACCTGATCAAATCCCATCTTTTATTGTTAGAGATTGTATCAGGAAATTAGTTCATCCTTTACGGGTTATCTTCAATTTAATCCTAACAACGACTGTTTTCCCCGATAAATGGAAAATTGCCAAAGTTTGCCCAATTCCAAAGTCAAAAAATTATCACTGTATCAGTGAATATAGGGCTATATCTATACTCAATAATTTTGCTAAACTCTTGGAGATCGTACTGTACAACCGCATTTACCTGTCCACTAAAAATAATATTTCCATCGACCAACATGGTTTTATAAGGCAGCGTTCAACACTAACAAACTTAATGGTATTTAGCCAATACTTGTGCCAAAGATTAGACAATAGAGGACAGGTAGATGTGGTGTACACCGATTTCTCCAAGGCCTTCGATAGGGTCAGCCACAGTATTTTGCTCCAAAAGCTTGAGTACCTGGGCTTCAACAACATTTACTTAGCGCTCTTAACATCATATCTGTTTGAAAGGAAACAGTATGTTTTTTATAATGGCTACATATCACATGTTTATGTCTCAACCAGTGGCGTACCACAGGGTTCGAATTTAGGACCACTGTTGTTCATATTGTTTGTGAATGATCTGTGTGAATCTTTGGCTTGTTCTAAGTTAATGTTCGCAGACGACCTAAAATTTTATTCATCCGTTTCATGCTTGGAAGACTGTGCATTTGTTCAAGGTCAAATAAATAAATTGCAAAGCTGGTGTGCCAAGAATCAACTTCATTTTAATATAAGTAAGTGTAAAGTAGTAACTTTTTCAAGGAAAACCAACCCAATGGTATATAATTATACAATGATCCAACATGTTCTTGAGCGCAGTGAAACTGTGAAAGACTTAGGTATCTACTTTGATCAACATCTAACCTTTAATGAGCATATCAATCAAATCATATCAAGTGCTGACCGAACCTATGGCTTCGTTATCAGGTTTTGTAAATCTTTTGACGTTTTGACTTTGCAGACATTATACTTTAGCTTGGTTAGGTCTAAGCTTGAATATGGATCTTTGATATGGAGTCCGATTTACAAGCAGTATATTGATGTTGTTGATAAACTTCAAAAGAAATTTTTAAAATTTTTATGTTTTAATATCGATGGCATATATCCTACTAGAGGTACAGAATACAACATCCTTCTTCATAAATTTGGCATTCAATCCTTAGAACAACGGCGTCAGCAATCAGCAGTTATAGTTTTATATAAATTACTGCATAATCTAATAGACTGCTCTACAATACATTCACAAATACAGTTTCTGGTACCACGACTAACATCAAGATATAATGTTCCTTTTTTATGTCAAAGAGCTCAAACAAACTTATTGTCGAAAGCGCCTGTCAACATGATGTGTGTGAATGCGAATAAAATAGCCGATGTATGTGACATATTCTTATATAGCATAGGTGAATTGAAGTGCAAATTGCGTGCTCACTTTTGATTTATCTTACGTTTCTTATTTTTAAGCTGTAGCTATATTTATTTTTTGTTATCGATACATGAATTATTATTGTTTTTTTTTTCTTCACAAGCTACCTCATGGTGTTTTTTTTATAGTAGTTTGCTCTGTAAATGGTGTTAAACTGTTGGGCAATAAACGCTTATTATTATTATTATTATTATGTGATGTAACAAAAAATTCACAATTGTCTTCCCTACTGTAGTGCAGATTACTCCCAAGGTCATGGGGTGGACCGGCGGATTATAAAGGCAGTCCACGAAATGTCTTTGCTTTTGCTGTGCTTTTATTCGTTGACCTACCTCGAGACCTAGACCATACTGATGGTTGTCAACAAGCATGAAAGAGCGTTGTAGACGGTTGGCTATGTGTCGGTCTCACAGCCGAAAGCAGTATTATTGTCTACGCGGTAGCTTCATGTCATTTGACGATATAGAGATTTTCAAATGTCACTAAATAGTCAGCTGTTATTTTTTGACAGGTATAGACGTGTTAAACTGTGGTGAAAACTGGGCAATAAGAAGTTTGATTACACATATTTAATTGAATCATAAACGATCCTTTGGTCAGATACCATTTTGGAATTGTGATTGCAAATACATATTTTCTAAATTAAAATACTATGCCTTGTGTGATATTACTATTTTATTCCTTTTGTGTAATGTGATGGTATTTTTTTAGATATCTGAAGGTTTCAGTGAAGATGTCTCCAAAAGCAAGTGTCTTCCACCGCCGTCTAGTCCTTTACGCATCATCAACCCAGATCTGGTAAATATTGAAGTGTTTATAAAAAATTAAACTTGCGCCTTCGGTCGCGTGGAAGTAGTGTAAAGTATATTTCATTCATTTCACATTAATGTGGAGGAAATTGGCTTTGGAGAAAGAAATGCAATATTCAAAGTAACGCAATGGCAATGAGCATTTTTCATCCAACCTTTTTATGCAACAATACATTATTTTCAATGTTTTGCTCTTTGTATTGTCGACAAAAAGTAAGGAGTTTATTTGAAAATTTCTCTGATCTTGAAATGACCTTGAAGATCATGGTCAGGTTAATTGTTTGCAATTAAAAATAGATGTTAACAGTTGAAAATTCATTAATCTTCAAATAACCTTAATGATTATAGTTAAGGAACATGAAGTTTCTTGCTCGGTTTATTTCCTGTCAAAAATAGGGGTATCATTTAAGAAAACCGTCAAATGGCCTTGAATGTCATATCCAAGGCTACGTTCAAGATCACTGATGGATCTTTTCAAACCGTACAACTTTGTTCTACAACATTATCCTATAGGAAACCTATTTTTTGAGATATTTCCGTCTATCCATACCTTTTGAATACCCTGTATATTGTCGCGGATAAAACTATTTTAGACGCCAAGACAGTTGAGCCCCAAGAGAATAGAAACGTCGTTGAGTAATGATGACGATGAGGGTGTGTCGATAGTTAGCAGAGGAAGTGTACCAACAACACCTAAACGACTATCATCTGGAAGAGATATTTTCTCTCAGGATTTTGGAGATGGAGATGGAATTGATGAAAGGGTTGAAGAGGAGAAAGAACAGGTTCGTACCTATTCCCAACCTGCTATTTAAAAAGCATACAATTCGCTTGAATTCAAAAACATTCTAATAAATAAACCATATTATACCTTGTATGAGTTCAGCAATACATTTACTCAAGATTCACATGCTTTAATTTGTTATATTTCAGTTTATGTTAACTTTGAAATTAAGAAATATTACATTCTTCAGATATATATCTTTACGAGAGCCCAAAAGGATTAGTTTTTTGTCAATTAAGACGGCGCCACGCGTGGGTCTCGACGTTGAGGTCGGTAAATTAAGTGATGAGACTGATTCTTTTTAATAACTTCTTTCTGCCACACAGTGCTGGAGACGGTTCTTCCACTCCTCATAGAAGTGTTGGAACTCCGACACTGCACTAGCCTTCAGCTGGTCGGTTACAGCCGTTTGAATGTTTTAGACTGTCCCAAATTGAGGATACTTTTCAACTTCGGGAAGAGAAAAAAGTCACCAGGACTCGAGTCGGGCGAATCAGGAGGCTGAAGAGCCACAGGCGAAACACTCGTTTATTGACGTTGCTATGTGACAGGAGCATTATCCTGATGCAACACCCAGTTATTCTTGATCTGATGAACGAAATTGAAGAGCAAAAAAAAACGGTACAGGCAACCAAATGACTCAAGCGAGTTCAAACTTGTACTGAAGGCGGATCACATGTTGCCCTGTCTACGCCTCCAGTGTTGCCAGATCGAGCGCTACGTTGCCAGTCTCATCACTTAATTTACAGATCTCGGTACGCGTGTCACATAAACAAATCTTTCACTGACACTCCGAATCAGTCGTCCGTATAGTGCTGCCGTTTTGACTAAATTTCAAGATTAATAGTAATTGCGTATTGTACAGGCCCAAGGGTCGCCTTGCACGGCAGGCGGACTGCATATGCCCAACTCGAAGTCGATGAACAACTTTGCAAAACGAGTACAGCGATTACGTCATCATAGTCAATGCAATCCCGAGCCAGAGAGAATAGAGGTGTCGACAGGGAGTAGTCCTGGTAAAGGTAGTGCTGGGGCAGCGTTTAGCAGTACCACCGTTAGAAGGGCAATATCTTGTCCAGAAATGAAGAAAACGGGTGAGTGATTCAAAAAGACGAACTGACGACACCGTTTCTTGGGAGCGTCAAGATGGGTCGCGTCGGTCATACATGTCATATGTGAGACTTTTGAGCTTGGAAGTTGAACATAAATCAGCGTTAATGCTCGACTGTTTGATGTTTTGAAAACACGACTGCAGATTACAGCTTCCAAATACTAGTAATATTTTTGTTTTAAATAGGATTAAATATTTTTCTTCTAAAATGATGCAAAAGTAGCAACAATGCAACTTGAAAGTTTATTCGAGTATCTCAGAAACTGTAGAGGTGTTTCTGATTAACCTGTCTTTTGCTGCTATGAGGATCCCAAAGAAATTTTGTTAATACGATTTTTGAATTGCCTAAGGCTGGTGAAACTGCGAAAAGCCTCTTCTTCTACGTTGTTCCACAATTTCGACACCCCAGCGGCAAAGGAGCGGTCTGTAGTTGTGAGGGTCAGTCTTAGATTGCTTTTTGGGATGGTTTGGACATAAGAAAATTTCCAGTTTTCCAGGAAGGTGCCGAATTCGTGAGATATCTCGAAGAGACGTGCAAGAACTGGAGCAAGGCAGGAGACCAGTTCGGACCAGCAGCTTTGTAGATCGTGCTTGCTGCATTTCTACTCGACCAGCATACCTCAGGCGCTTTATACTGAGGTTTCTCAATTTCTACAGAGCACTTCGTTAATGTTCGTTCATTTGGTCTTTTAGTTTTTAGTTACACTTATTCTCGTTGACTTCAAGATCAAATCACCCTTGACGCTCTCATGAAATTGCATAGTTACTGCTTATATTTCGGTACGTTAGGTTTCCATATGAAAACTATTAGACCACCTTCAGCTGTTACCACTGAGCAAAGAGTACAATAGTGTGTCATTTAAGGTCTCTCGTCTGCCAAAGATAACATAGACAAACCTCTGAAGGAGACTGATGAAGAGATAACTGTAGAAAAAAACGGCAGTGACTCTCATAACGGTTCTATGGAAGAGAGAACTTACAGTACCAATTCAACGCAAACGGAGAACTTTTGGCCGTACGAGCATCTCTTTCTTGCTGTATTTCCCTCTTTAGAATCCAACAACGAGTATAGAGCGAGCCCGTTACCTAGTCCTGCACCGTTCAAAGAGGAAAGAAGTTCACCTTCTGTTTATGATGTTTTAGATAGGTAAGTAACTGTTTTTTACTAGCTACTTGTTATTAAAGATTTCTAAAAAGGGCGCATTTCTTATGTTGAACGTACGCTCCTTGACAACGCGCTGTTGCTATCGACGCGCACGAATAGAACTTCATTGTCTCGTCAGAAATTTGCCAAATTTAGATAAACGATAAGAGTAGTATACAAAAAACGCTAAGATTTTACACGACAGTGGTCGAGAATATCAAAAAATCTATGTAATAACATTCCTATTTTTTAAATCTTTAATCTTTTACTATTTCTTTTATTATGAAACTTTTATATAGGTGATTTTTGGTATATCAACTCCTACAAGCAGTTAAAATAAATGACTAAACTTTGAAAAATCCCTCTATATTATCACAAAATTGTCAAGTATACGTGAAAAAGACCACAGTGGTTATCGAAACGTCGCGCAATGAACAGAAATCTAATCATATTTATGGTATTGATTTGGTCAGATAATGGAGTCCTATGAACTTGAAAACTACAGCTTAAGTTTCAGGAGTTACATAAGAGAGGCTAACTCATGCCAAACATAATCTTTTATAAACTGATGACAGCGTTGCATAGGAAGTGTAGAGTCAATCTACTTGACGCCATTTCTTAATTTGTTTATCCATTTTTAGATATCTGGAAACGGCATGCCACGCAAGTAGCGATAAAAATTCAGTACAATACCTGAAAGATCAACTGCAACTGGTTCATCAACACCTTTTATTTGAGAGACATCGGAGAGAAATTCACGCTTATAGAAACAGGAGGCTACTATCAGATGCGAAAAGCACACGATTGCTGGAAGAGTGCAATTCAGCATTGGTAAATGATCGTTTTAATATCGACTTCTTCCCTAACGCTGGCATACCTGTTTTTCATGATGGTTATAATTATTTGAAACCCCTTGTAGTAGCATTGTTCTTGAATGTTTTATTTTTCTATTTTAGAGGGACACAGTACAACTCCAAGAGAAATATTTAGATGATTTAAGGAATCAATTGGACAAGAATAGAATAGACAGGTTAGAAGAGGAAAATAAATTGAATCGAACCATTCAGTATTGGGAAGAACAGGTAACAGGAACATTAGAGCTGGTTCGTCTCTGCCAACAGAAGAAGCAAAACATTTCTTAAGCCTCGTGAACCTTAAAATTTAGCTATAGTTGTGAAAAACCATTAGAATATGCATACAGTGTCGTCCTAAACTTATTCGAAAGAAAATATTTTGAGGCTTATAGGGTCCGTGAGGCATTTTCGCGTTACATGGAGATTCAAGGGATTTCCCACGCATTCTTCGAATTATTTTATATTGTGACAATGGTGGAAGATTAAACGAAACTTATTTTCAGTGCAAGGTATTGCAAGAAGAATGCAAAGGCTTGAAAAGTGCTAACGAGAACCTGGTTAGTGAAGCTAGTGAGTTGAAAAACCAATGTGCCATCCAAGATGTAAAAATTACTCAATTGTCATCTGACGTACTTGACGCTATCGCTGAAATGAATGTGAGTATTTTGATTTCGAGACTGCGAAGGCTGCTATTTTTTCGTTTCTTATTTTCCTTATTACCATTACCGAACTTTCACTGATATACATTTTTAAAACGCTGCACTGGCTATACAAAACATACTCGTGTAGATCGATTCAAAATTTAAATTTCTTCCATTTCGTTCACTAACCATGACTGCCTGTTTGTGTCGCCCATATCCAAATCCAAAAATTGCTTATTCAGTTTTTTTTGCTAAATTCTATTTGTTTTCTGCACCTCCATGAAACGGTTCCTCAAACTACGAACATCTTCAATATGCAACGTTCCTTTTACTTCCTACACCACTAAGCTTATATGAAATTTTTTTGATGTTAGTATATTTATACACTCCCAATCCCGGTATTCTACGCACCTAATTAGCCATATTTCACACATCATAGATTTTTCTGTACGTTTGCCTTTAAAACTTAGAATGAGATAATTGTTTCCGATCCGCGTACTCCTGCTATAAAACATATATTCGGAATGAACGATAACTCGCTGCAGCTGTGTTACGGTGGGCGTTGCCGCGCAGATGTGGAAAGGGACAACGGTGCCGGAATGTGCAGTAACTACCGGTAGGGCAGGGTAATAATGTCTATGGACTAATTGTATGAGCCTGTTTCACTGACTTGATCCGTTAAATTCCACTGTTTTACATGTTCATAACTGACTTTTTTCTCAGAGGATTAAACTTGCGCTGAACTTAATTCTTTATGAACTGATGACGGTGTTCCGTAGAAAGTGTAGAGTCAACCTACCTGACACCATTTTTTGTTTGTTAGCAAAGTTGAGGCAAAAATAATGTTTGCTGTTTTTGAAGGTCGCAAAGCAGCAAGCAAAGTGTGGTGAAATAGGAAGGAAGCAGCTGGAGCAAGTAAATAAAGAATTGTTGATGTTAGGCGAACTGCAATTGAAATATCAAGAAAGGCTGGATCAAGTCGAAGCGAAACGGGAGGTTCAGGAGGAACTAAATGTAACGAAAGAGACCTATCGGGAAGACATTCGAGGTAAACATTTGTATAATGGTAGAGTTGATGAATAGTAAGAAGTATGATAAAATGTATCAGGAAGGCTGTTTTGGACAAGTGAAAACCGATAACTAAATAAATTTACAGTTGTGAATCACCATCTGGAATCGAAGATATCAATGATAGATTCCTATAGGACTAGGTTAGTAGAATTGGAGCACACTATGGCGTCCAAGGAAGCGGGGATTCTTACTCAAAAGCAGATGCTCAGTGGGTTAAATGAACAGCATTTTGAGAAACTTGAGGTAAGTGCTCTAACTGAATCTTGATTCGAATCATATTATGTATGTATACTATTGTTTTGATTCATCACCACTCGGGCCCCAGTCAGCCACGTTGCCTCGGTTGTGTAAACTGCCAAGTAGCTTGATTTTTTTGTCACTACGTTATATGGTTTTCTATTTGCTAAGATAATCCCTGGAGGAGCCAGGTTTGACATATATTTGATAAGTTATAATACTGCAAGATATCCTTTCTTCTTGTTATTTTATAAACTTATATTAAGTCAATCAAGACCACTCGTAATAAAAATGTATACCTCGCCACTGATAACTGTGCTTTTGGTTGCTGAGATCACCAGGGAACAGCGGCCTAGGTTTCGAAATATTAAGGACTTTTTAATGCAACAAAAATGATGTATCATTAAGCAGCAACAAAAAGAAGTGAACCGTGGTAATTTGACATTAATGACTATTGACAATCATGACAGGTAGCTTATATATAACTCCAACATTTCAGAACCACAGAACATTTTAAAATCTTTTCATCGTAAAGTTTCGGTAATATTTTTGTTATGATTATTCAAACCGACCAAGAAATTAATATTTTTAGAACCAGAACCAGAAGAAGGTCTCTCTCCTACGTATTTTTTGAACGGGTCAAGTTAGCCAGCTAAAATTCGAGATGATGAAATTGACGCCTGTATACTATATTTTAATGTTGAAATAATTGTTGTAAATTTCAAGATGGCGTTTGGGCGTGGGGGTGTTGAAAAGCACTGTATAACAAAATCAAGACAATATAATCCATTTAGAACACCGCCCATTTCCGTTTATTTATATTTGACCTAAAACTCTATATATTACATAACATAGTACCGTATTCAGACGTGTTTGTTTTCGCTCTGACTTTTTCGTATTTTTCTGTGGTTAAAACTGGTCGTTTCTGCACCAATTTATACGTGTGTGGTGGTCGTAATGTGCAGTTGCTGTGAACTATACTTTGATGCAGTGAGCTGCACTTAATCAAGCAGTCATGGCTACAAACTGTGCTAGTTGCCATTCATTGGTAAATCGCTCGAAGCCAGGTATACCGTGCGATGGTTTTTGTGAACAGTCTTTTCACATTTCTTGTGTGGGAATTCCATCAGATGTATTGAAGATAATAAAAACACCTGGTTTATTCTGGTACTGTCCTACATGCTCTCAGCAGAAAAAAGATTTTGATCGAGTATTTATCAAAATTGATGATAAAGTAGATACACTTATTGCTGATGTTTATAATATTTTCTCCGAGGCTAAAGGTCATCTGATAAATAAGGTTGATGAAACTTTGGAACAGACTGTCTCACAAAGGGTCCCGGGTCCAAGTGCCTCATATGCAAATACCTTGAAAAAGACTGTGAACGTGATTGTTACGCCAAAAAACAATGATCAGTCTCATTCTGCTACGAGGCTTAGAATTAGTCAGTCTGTTGACCCTGTAGATAACAATATAAGATTTTCTCAGGTGAAAAATATAAAAAACGGTGGAATACTGATCAAATGTGATGGTTCGGATGATGCCAATAAACTGAAGGATTTGGCGTCGCGGCACCTTTCTGCCGATTATGAGGTGAAGGAGGTGAGGAAGTTCAACCCGCGCTTAAAAATTGTTGGAATGTCTCAGTGTATCGACAAAGAGGAGTTGTGTACAATGCTGAAATCTCAAAATAATGCGTTTCATGCTGAAAGTGAGTGTAGTGTTTTAAAAGTTTGGCCAACAAAAAAATCAGCTACTGTTTATCAAGCTATTTTAGATGTAGATTGTACTACTTATGCTAATGTTCTCAATCAAGGTAAGGTCCTTGTCAATTATGATAGTTGTGCGGTTTATGACGCAATCAATTTGAAATTGTGCTTCAAATGCTGTGGGCTGAATCATTATGCAAAAAATTGTAGAAGTAGTAGTCAAACCTGTGTAAAATGCTCTTTGGATCATAAAGTGTCTGATTGTCGATCAGTCAATCTGAAATGTATTAATTGTGTAAACGCCCGTCATTCAAAAACAGATCACGCTGCCTGGGATACAAATCAATGTACAGTATACAAAAATAAATTAAATGAATACAAAAAATCTATAACAGGTGACATATAGCAACTATCCTGTGTAAATTTAGATTCTGGAATCGAGCATAATGAAGATATTGCTCAATATGATCGAACAGACTTCTGTATTTATTATCAGAATGTTAGAGGATTAAAAACCAAATTGCACACTTTATTCAATGCGTCCTATACTTGTCCTTATGATCTAATTGCCTTGACTGAGACTTGGATTGATGATAGCATCCATAATAGCGAGTTTATGAGTAGCGAATTTAGTGTTTTCAGATCAGATACTAAATATGTACAAACTGGCCAGACTAAGGGAGGTGGAGTTTTATTAGCGATACATAAAAAATATAAAGGAGTTGCAATTGATTTTCAATGTTCAGTCTCGGAAATTGATGTTGTTGGGATTAGAATTGAACTCATTCGCTGTACAGTTTACCTCCTCCTTGTTTATATTCCTCCAAATCTTACTGTGGAGACTTATGAAACTTTTTTTGAAGACATCCTTACATTAGATTGTTTCAAGCTTAATGATACTATTCTTTTTCTGGGGGATTTCAATATCCCTACATATATAAATTACCTCATTGATAGTACTTACTATAACAATTACATTTCGGTTGTCAAAAATATGAGCCACTTCTTCAATTTAGTTCAATACAATCATATACGTAATGCATATGATCGCATCCTGGACTTAGTGTATTGTAATAATTTTGCGCAGGTGAGTGCTGCATCCGATATTTTACTGCCTATCGATGCCTATCATCCTCCTCTAGAAGTACGTGTGTCTTTTCCCTGTCGCATGAGAAATTTCCATACAAACAGTATTCCGCAGTATAATTTTAAAAAAGCAAACATCCCGGCTCTTTATAATAGCATCATGAATTTAGATTTAACTCTCCCGTCACATATTACGGATATTAATATTGCCTGCGATCTTTTTTATAAACGATTGTATGTTGCATTTGATAGACATGTTCCTTACACATTGCCGAAAGATAACAAATATCCTCCATGGTTTTCTCGCTCTATTATCTCTAAAATCGGAAAAAAGCATCGTCTCTGGAAACGATACAAGCGAACAAGTAATTTGTCAGATTATGAATTATTTAGCAGTTTACGAAGAACAATAAAAATCGATATTGACATGGCTTATTCAAATTTTGTTGAAAGAACCGAGCGCGCTTTGGCTCACAACCCTAATAACTTTTGGTCCTTCGTAAATCATCGCAAAAATTTCGTCAATATTCCTAGCAACATGTTTTCTGAAAATACTGAGTTGAAAAATCCTGAGCAAATAGTGAACGCCTTTGCAGCATATTTCCAATCTACTTATATTTCCTCCTCGGAATATTTATCTGACTCTGCCTCAGTGAACGATAGTTCTTGCCTATCTATTATAACAGTTCATGAGAAGCATGTACGAAATGCTCTGAATAAGTTGAAACCTAAATGCTCCACAGGTCCAGATTCCATACCGTCTTTCTTTCTTAAGGATTGTGCTTCGGTACTTGCTCAGCCCTTAGCATACCTTTTTAATTTGTCTTTAAAAACTGCAACCTTTCCTGACAAATGGAAAATGTCGAAAATTACTCCAGTTTTTAAGAAAGGCGATAGGTCACATATTGAGAACTATAGAGCGATTGTTATCTTGAGCAATTTGGCGAAAGTTTTTGAGTTTGTACTTTTTGAGGTCGTGTTTTCTCATGTAAGTCGTACCATCTGTACTGGTCAACATGGTTTTTATAAAGGTAGATCAACATGTAGTAATTTAGCATGTTTCAAGCAATACGCTGCTGAGGTTTTGGACAAAGGAGGGCAGGTTGATGTAGTCTATACCGATTTTTCAAAAGCTTTCGACCGTTTAGATCACGGTATTTTGATACAGAAGTTGTCAAAAATTGGTTTAACGTCTAGATTTCTTGATTTTTTCCAGTCATACATTAATAACAGACATTTACGTGTAGATTATCGTGGTTACAAATCATATCCGGTGTTGGCTACGTCAGGCGTACCCCAGGGTTCAGTCCTTGGCCCTTTGTTATTTCTTATATTCATTAACGACATAGTAAGTGACTTGCGGTGTGAGTATTTGCTGTATGCTGACGACCTCAAGATTTTTAGATGTGTTAATACCTTAGATGATAGTTTAGCATTGCAAGCAGATCTGAACCTTGTACATCAGTGGTGTGAAGTTAATAATATGCATTTGAATGTTGATAAATGTTGCACTATGACGCTAACACGCAAGTTGGAACCGATAGAATCTGTCTTTGAGATTGGAAACAGCTCGCTCCTGAGAGTTTTTTCGTTCAAAGATTTAGGTGTTTTGTTTGACCCCAGAATGACATTTATCGAGCAGATAAATACTATTGTAGCAAAAGCGTACAAAAATCTTGGTTTTGTTATCAGAAACAGCAGACAATTTCATAATCCTAAAACTTTAATCTTACTATATTATGCTTTTGTTAGATCTATTCTCGAATATTGTTCTATTATTTGGTACCCGGCTTACGATGTACATTCCCATAATCTTGAGAGAGTTCAGCGACGTTTCGTGAAGTATTTGTGGTATAAAGAAGATAGAGTTTATCCTGAAAGGGGCTTTCGTAATGACATATTATTAAGCAGATTCAATCTGCCAAATTTAACGAAGCGCAGAAATTTATTCGCTGCTACCTTTTTGTGTAAATTGCTCGATGGCAGCATTGATTGTCCTTCACTCTTAGAGAAAATTTATTTACACATACCTAATTTGCGTACTCGTCATGGTAGCAACAGTTTATTCTATTTACCTATTCCTAGAACAAACTTATTGTTGTTTTCACCACTCTATGTTATGTGTGGCATTTGTGAAAGTGCACGTGCACTTGATATCTTTCACTACAGTAAAGACAGCCTTCGAAGGTATTTTCTAACTGTCGGCTGAGCATGCTGTACTTCCTGCCTGTTCAATGGAGTGTTCCGTTCAGGCAGTGTATTGAATCTAAATAAATATTTTAACCAATACGTTTTTATAACTTGAAATTATTGTAATAAAACTTTTACAGCTTCACGAATTCCGGTAACAAGACTGAATGAAGAAAAAGTAACCTTACAAAATACACTCTCCGGGGCTTATTTCCATAACGGAAAACGAAGGATCAGAATAACGAAAATCATAACAAAACAACAAAATCAAATCACTAAAAGCTTTCTATTGATGCCTCGCAAAATAAATTCGATGTATCCACGTTCCGTTCCACACAATAAAATTACTAGAATCATTTAAAAGGATAATGGTCACTTTGTATGAGATTTTAGGCTCTACAACCTTTTTCTTATTCATGAATAAATATTATTCTAAACAAACAAAAAAACGGGGTAATTCCCATCTAGTCTAATCATAGGAGATTTCCCCGAAATAATTGTAAAGTCTGGTTTTATTGGTTCAAGCTGTTCAAGGGGGTATTTAAAACATGGACGCATAAAATGGGTACACCAATTTCTGTGGGAAAACTTTTTATTTGACGACAAAGAATGAGAAAACGTGTTTTTGGGAATTCAATCGAAAGTGCTGACAAAATGAGAACACACGTAAAAAGATTCGACTAATGGTTTGCGATTCATACCGGTAAGGTAAACTAGTTTATTTTGCTATAAAATTCCCTTTGAACTAACCCTGTACATTGCTAAATGAAGTAGTAGTGATAGCCGGAAAACAGGTGTTTTGGGATAAACTACATATTAGGAATTCTCAAAAAATATTTGAACAATCTACTCCAATTTTGTTGTGATTATTTAGAAGTACGAATCCTACGAATTTGAAGAATTTCAAATATCTGCGAGAAACCATCATCGCATTACCAACCAGTGCCAAAACCTGCAGTCTGCCTCGGTTTTCGACCATAACTTTTTTGATATTAGTCGGATATTTTTACGTGTGGTCTCAATACCTTAAAATCTGATATGAAGGGTTTTTTCGTTTCTGCCAACATTTTCGATTGAATCCCGAAAAACACGTTTTTTCATCCTTTGTTGTCGAATAAAAAGTTTTCCCACAAAAATTGGTGTACCTATTTTATGCGTCCCTGTTTTGAATACCCCCTTCAACAACTTGCAGCAATAAAACTAGACTTTACAATTATTTCGCAAACCAGGAGTATTTTCGACTAATATGATTAGAGTAATAGAGGGATGCTGATGATTGAAGTAGATGACACAAAATTATCACCTGTCGTTCAGGCCACATCAAAATAAACAACGCGTAATCGATCTCAATATTCTCGGGTCGTGTTCCCAGGCACCTCAGGTTCTTAAATTTATGTTTATTTTGACGCCGCGTAAACATATAGACATAATGTCATATCTGTTTTATGTCGATAGGCTGTGGAAAGCAAATATCAAACGCAATCGACGATATACCGATCATTAGAGGAGAAACTGCTCGACTTGAGGCAACGACTGGACATTGCCGAGTATGAAAAGAAACGGGCGTTACATTCTCCTGATACAAGTAGCTGCCACGAAGTAAATGTCAGTACGACGGTAGGATTGAGCCCACACTCGTCGCCATTGTCAGCCTCGCTAGCTTCATCTGAGGGAAGCAGTGTGCTGCATGAGAGGGAAGTGAAGAATTTGCAAGTAAGTAATGCCATCCTAACAAATGATTGATTAATGTAATATCCAAGAAGGTGCATAGCCCTATGATCTATTCATTTATGAGCAGAATTTTTTTAGTCAGACGCCCGGTTTTCAGCTAAATAAAATCCATTTCTCTTCATGGTGATTCTGTCACATTAACAATAGGATCATGCAGAGAAACGGTTTTATTTAAGTCAAAACAATGAATGGGATTGAAAAAATCAAGCGATCAAATTTGCTTAGAAGTGATTGGCGATTTTGAAAATAATTTTTCTTTTAACAGAAATCCATGGCGTACCATCAATGTCTGCTAAAATAGGCAGGTGAAATTAAGTACGAACGCCCCTTACGGAAATTAAAAAATGCCTCTGCACAAGTATGCCAAATTTGATAAAAATATGGTATCAAAGATCTTTATAATCACTTATTTTTGAAAAATTTACCACTCTGTATCCGTAAAGTTAAGACGTTCAAGACTTATGTTCATGTGAAGTTTTCTTCTTAAAATGGACCCAAAGATCCCCCTCTTAAATATTAATATTCAATTATAAAACATCTTGTATAATTGTTGTTCTTGGCACCACGGTACCTATGGTTATTTTCAGGCAGGTGCAGCTTTCAACTGTATTAGGTCCCTTCTAGCGTACAATCTTAATCAATGGCCATAGATAATACAAAATGACTCCCTTTTATTCAATAGTTTTTACAGCATGTTTCTAGTAACGATTTGAATAATAGATTAGGAGCCACGCCTATACGAAAAATACACGGAGATATTTCAGAGGATGATTGCTTGTTAAAAAATATGAAAAAAAGTTTCTATAAACATGGGTCCGGAAATACAGTTTTCAAGGTACGAGTAATGAAATATTTTTTTTTATTAATTTTTTGTAGGGTCATGGTATCTACAGTCAAAATCACGAAAGGTGACTATTACGTCATACCATAAATTGTACTGAAGTAATCAATGGACGTATGTCGTTGCTAAAATCACAATGTCAGGGACATATATTATGACAATGAATTTATATTATGATTTTGCGAAGTTAGTGTAATGACATATTAAGCGGAAAACCGCAAAAACGCTAAAATTAGCGGCCCGCTCGAAAACCGCCTGCAATGCAATGTCAATGTTCAATGACATATTTCGTTCCCGCCGGCCGCTGCGATCGGCGGCAAAATTCAGCCCGCGTCTTGTCGGCGGGAAAGCGGTTCGCGTTTTGCGGTTTGAGTGGGGGAAACATACACAAACTAACGCCTGGTGACAAATAGTTGTCTACTGAACCGCTGCGGGTTGCGATTTGTAGTGTGTTTCGTGATTTCGTCGAGGAGTCTGCAGAATCATGTCCACAGAAAACCTCATTGAGCTCGTTGAGATACATCCTTCCATTTGGAACAAAAGTTGTGAGCAGTACAAAGACAGATACGAAAAAGAAAAGGCTTGGATCGAGATCGCCCGAAGGATCTTCCAAGATTGGGATACACTTGGGAAGAAAGAGAGGAATAAAAAATGTAAGTTGAAGGTACCAAATAATTATAAAGGTTAATAATTGAAAGTTAAAAAGTTTAAAAGCGAATTTAAGATAAAAAAGTCGATTGTTTGTTCGTATATTGACTGACTAGCATTTATTTTCACCACATGAAAATTACGATTAAATTTATAAATAAATCTTTCAATTCTTTTTGGCATAATTTTAAAATTACTATTGATGTGCAGAAGTGATGTTTTCACTTAAAAAAAAGATTTGGCAATCAAAATTTAATAAAAATAAATAAAACGAAAAAATAACGCCTTGGAACACGGTTTTTACATGGACATGGGACACGGTATTTACCTAAAATTTTATTCTTATCATTCATCGTTTTTTATACGTAATTTTTTTCCGGGCAATGCCGAGTTTCTCAGATAATAGGTATTTTTTTTAGAATTAAGTACATTGTAATACTTTAATACATTTATTCACAACTACGTGAACATCCTTGCAATTCAATAATTATACTCCTCTTGAAACGGGACGGCACCAATCCCAACAAAATAATCTGCAAAAAAATCGCGAACTTGTGTTCCTTGGTCGCGGGGCGCTGCACCAGTATTTATTACGTCAGGAAATGGAGAGATTTCACCTTCTTCATAATTGGCACCATCTCTTTGCCGAACGAAATTATGTAGGATGCAACAGGCTTTTACGATATCATCAATGAGCTCTGGTCGTACCAAAATTGGTGTGTGAAAAATTCGCCATTTATTGGCTAATAAACCAAATGCACACTCGACTGAACGTCTGGCTCTAGAAAGTCGGTAATTGAAAATTCTTCGACGACCATCAATGTCACGTGCAGGAAAGGGTCTCATGAGATTTGTATGTATTTTAAACGCTTCGTCTCCAAGAAATACAAAAGGCTGAGGAGTGGAATCTGTTCCGGGTAGACACTTAGGTGCAGGAATATTTAGTTGGCCAGAATACAGTTTCGTACCAAAAGTGCTGTCACGGAATACAGTCGAATCACCTTCTTCACCATAAGCTCCTACATCAATTGAAATAAAGCGAAGGTTGGCATTAGCTACTGCCATTAGAACCACCGAAAAATACTTCTTGTAGTTGAAAAATTTAGATCCAGAGCTCCGTGGCTTAACACAATGAATGTGTTTCCCATCCACCGCACCTAAGCAATTTGGAAAATCTGTTTTCTCTTGAAAAGTGTCGGCGATCTGGTACCATTCCTCTTTCGTTGGCTCAGGCATTTCTGTATCTTTCAAAGCAAGCCAGATTGCTTGGCAAGTTTCAGACACTATATCGGCAATCGTACTTCTTCCAATGTGGAATTCATATTGTAGAGCTGTGAAGGTATTTCCCGTGGCCAAGTATCTGCAAAAAGAATCGAAATATACCACTAATTCTAGTGCACGTGTTTTTGTGTCTTTGTTTTTGAAATTAATTATTCTTTTTTTAGTGGATGCGTTGAAGAAGAAATGGAAGAACATCAAGGATTCATTAAGAAAATATTTAGATACAAGAAGCGGGGATGCTGCAAAAAAAAAGAAATATGTACACCTTGAGGCCCTGAGTTTCCTCTGCTGAAAAAAGAAGGTTGGTCATTTAGTTGATGTTATATCATCTACAGTATATATCGTTATTTGCATCTCTTTTCAGCACAACGGGCAATTTCGACTCGGACACTTCAGAGGAAGAGGGCCACAACGAATCTGACATAGCCACAACTTCAGCGTTATCACTATCAGAATCCCACACCCAGAAAACTCATCAACTCCAAAACAACATTCTTTTAGAAAGCCTAGTCGACCTGCCAAGATGACTCCTTTTCAAGAATCCCTTATAAAAAATCTCAGTCAGGCATCATCATCGATTACCCAAGCCAGAGTTGACGAAGATGCAGATCGTTTGTACCTACTTTCTTTACTTCCGGATTACAAAGCGTTATCTCCGCGGCAAAAGTGGGCATTCCGTGAACACGTAGGATACTTTTTCCGTCAAACTTTCGTACCTCCTACATCTACGCCTCCTCTGTCATTCCAAAACTACCGAACCACTTCAACACATTGTCCTCAATACTCCTATCAAGAACATAGTTCACTACCTTTCTCTCACAACATAACCCAACTTCAGAAACCCCCACAGCCACCGCAAACCTATCAAACATCATCTTGTAACATAGCACAAGAATCCACTCAAGTCACATTCTCTCCCAGTTCGTTTTCCCAATCACAGTAACGATATTACTATATTAAGTTGTATTATCAAGTATTTTGTTCACTTTTGATTTTTTTACAAATAAACTCGAGTTATGATTATTATTGATTATTTGAGTGTAATTTAAAACATTATTTATATAATATTTAAAATAAATAAGAAGTTATATATATGTTTGGTTACCTGAGTGTGACAGTCAACCTTTCTTTTGCGCTAATGGGCTTTTTGAAAGAAGTCTCCTGTTTCGTAATAAGTGGACGTAGAGCTCCAAGAAGTTCATCGAATGACGCAATTGACATGCGATAGTACTCAAAAAATTTATCGGGATGCTTTCTGATGTCTTCCAAAAATTTGGGGCACTTCCTTGAACGTTCATTGTTATACGGGTGCACTGCATATCTGCGACTTCGTGGTTTCTCCTACAGGCCTTCAGCTTCAGCAGCACAAACAGTTGCTACGTTAACAAAATGTGCGAGCTCCATACTTCAAAGCTAAGCTACAACTGATGACAAAAGTAGAATGTGGCCATTCAGGCCTCTCCCCCTTGTCGCGCCGCCATCCACCGCCGCGCCGCCGCGCGGGCGACAGTATGTCATCAGACCATAAAGCGGTTTTCATTCCCGCTACTTTTGGCGTTTTGCGGTTTCCCGCCTAGTATGTCATTACACTTAGGTTATTTCATTGATTATTTTTATTTTCATGTAATTTCATGGTTTTAATAATAATTTCAGTGGGAAGTTTTTGTTTAAAAAAAACAGTTATGAGTAGAATGCAACCTTAGACAGGAACACCAAAGACCAAAGTATTATTTGAAAACAACCTAACCTGCTTTAACATAACCTAACTATTCACCTTTCAAATATGATCGATCGTGCAACATGAAAACATCATCTATCTTTGTCGGATACATGCAAATTAGCAATACAGTTTGTTTGGACAATAAAATTGTTTTTCTCTGTCTAACATATCTGAAACTTCATTAAAAATATAGGCAAATCGCTGTGGTTTGTCTTTACTACAGACTAAAATGATGACATAATCGTCATCTTTCGTGATTTCGACTATATTGGAAAAGTTGCAATAAACTCTTTCCTAGAAATATTTTTGATTTTTTGTTTTCCAATGCACTTGTGATTTTTTAGCAAAAATTAATAAACCAATTTTGTCCAGTGACATGCAATAAAACGATTTTTATTTTTTTTCTCGTAAACGATTTGAGATACGAAAAAATACAAGAGACAAAGAAGTTTTATTGTTAGATGCTTAATCAAACAACAAATATTGAAGTTAGAAAAAAGGCACTGGCGTTCATTTTTTTGTCAATAATATTCGGTGGCCTGGGACGCCACAGGACTTAATAATTTTAATCTATTTAGGGCTAAAATTAGTCTCTTAATACAACAAATAATATTGCCAAATTTCAACAGAATCGAGTTTTTTTTTAATTTATCAGCCTGTATCTTGAAAACTGCATGTCCGAATCCATCTTTTTAATATACTTGTTTTCATATTTTTTAACAAGGAATTACCCTCTAAAATATCTCCGTCTATTTTTCGAACACCCTGTATACATTGCATTGTTGTCGCCAAAATTGCGGAGTTTTAGTGCATATTTTTGCCCGTTTGTCTACCAAAGTGACAGCTTTTTATCATAATAATAGTAATACTTTCTGGAGGAAACATCTACCTTCATGAGCCTTGTGCCGCTCCTTTGCAAATAATGTAAGAAGTACCATATCTTTAAATTTTCTAACACCAGAATTATCTGCATTCACACTTTTAAAAAATAACACTGAAACTACGAATAAAATGACAGACTGTCAAAACATTGACTTAAGTCAGTGGCTCTTTTATCCTCACTGCAGACTATAAGAATAAGGTGACAAACAAAGCCTTGACTGGCTCTTCCTAGCTAGTCCGAATTCCTTGGTTTCGAGATAATTACCTCTATAATTATTGCTTAGAACCCTAGTATTGTGCTTATTTCTGAAAATGTAACTGACAGACTGGCAAAAGTAAATGTGAAATGCCTAAATATTCTCAGGAGATCCAGGCAATTTTAGAGGCTGAATGATTTTATTTCCTGTCTGCTTAATATACAGGGTGTTCATTTGAAAACTTCGCACCACGGATTTATCGAAAACCAGTGATTAAAAGAAAAAACACCGAGATACGTCAAAAGATTTGTCGAGGGGGACAACTTTTTAACAAAAAACTGCTTCACCCCCTTTCAACCTCGCCCCCCAGGGTCATTCCCTTGAAAATTTTAAATGAAAAGGGGTATCGAGTAATAGCTTGTTTCTGACTTTCGAAGTCCTTTATTTTGACGTTTGATTTTTCAAAATCGGTCGATTCAAGAAGATTAGAAAAATCTTTATCTTAATTTGTTCAGATATAAAACAAAAACACCCGAAAATATCACTTTTCATTTCAATAAGTGTTCAAAATGTTGCCTGTTATTGGCCAAGCAATGGTATAGACGATGTTCGAATTCCTGACGGACATTTTCAAAAACATGTTGTGGGATGTCATGGCAGCTGTCGATGATGCGTTCCAAATCCAAACTTTCAGGTTGGGGGGTAAACACAATAGATGGCCTCATAGAAAAAAGTGTAATGGCGTCAAATCATGAGATCTATCAGTCCATTCTCCAGGCCCTCTTCGCCCTATCCATTTATGGGTGGGTTTTCGCGTTTTTTGGAAGGGTTAGGGTATTTTCGGGACGATAGACGAGGGTGACGTATCTGGTACATTAAGAAAACGACAGATCGCGTCATTCTTGTTTGTCATTTTGGAGGACTGAACATCCTTTTTTGGAAACGGGTCCTGGGCTATGCTGTTTTTGCGTAGTGCCATATTAAAATTTTTAATGATGATTCGTGCAATCTCAGCTCGTTAACTTTCAGACTACTGTAGTAACACACTGCATAGGAATGTGATAATGAAAAAACACACTGTCATCTAGAGGGCAGATAAATCAAATATTGTCATTCTACTGAAAATCACCTCAGTGATTGAACGTTTGCTATTTTAAAGAAGATCTGTCAACATGTGGTTTTATTGGGCAGGCAAGCATGGGGGAATAAATTATTGTTATTTCAGGCAATCGTGGACCAAAAGGAAGAATATTATCCTGACAATGATGGGCAGTTTGCTTCCACGTCTACAAAAACCGACTGATTTTTCATCAATGCTTATACTTTTACAAATGGATGGAAATTTACAAATATGGCAACAGGTATTCATTATTTAATGAAATGCCTTCAAATATTGGGAAAACTTCGAGTGAGTGAGTTGCCTTTCGAAAAAACTTTAGCTTCTGAAATTCGGACCAGCCTTGGCGATATAATCAGTCAAATCACCAATTTTTTTCATGCACGATGCAACTATTTTCATTATTATTATGTAACTAACAGAACACAGTATCGGACTTGGATAGCTGACATTGAAAATCCAAAAGAAATTCAGGTTCAAGATGTTTTCCAGTGTTATTATGGAGGCAATTCACTGTGCGCTTTTGTGAGTGATTTTAGAGTGCGTGAAATTTGATACAAATATTAATGCAAAACAGTTGTTAGAAGGAAGATAAGTCTAAACGATTTACTTTATCAGTTGCCATCCTCAAAAGTGTTATTTGTTATAAGAAGTCGAGTTTATTTGTGAATTGAAATGTTACTTTGTGTGAGGTCAGTTGTTGAAAAACGTTTTTGTAATTTTAATGCTGATGAAAATATTACCTATTTATTGTTATATATGGCAGAATTACAATGTTTTATTGAATTCATTTGGTATTTTTTATTAAATGTATTTCTTTGAATATTGAAATTCTCATAATTTGTTTAATAAAAATATTTATAAACAAGAGTGTACTTTATCATTGTAAACAACATATGTTTTGAGCTGTTAAGCAACACAAGCCTTTTTTTTCAGTAAAATATCCAATAAGAGATGTTTGTAGGAAAGCAAAAAATGCGATAATGCAATTTTATTATAAAATATAAATGCAACAAAATTGACTATATACAGGAAACGCTCAAGTATATTAAAATCTCTTAGAGACATGGCGGTTTTTTACCTGCAACAAAAAGTGTTTGGTGAGAGCCTAATATTACTAAAATAAAAATATGTTTCCCATGTAATTTTTTTCACGTTGAACACGAATAATCTCAAGTCACAATTGGGGGTCGGTGGACAAATAAGAAAGTCATTCAGGCATTCTTATCACACATTTTGGCATCTTTGGTGACTATGCGTCTCTTCAGTGGTCTCCGAGAGATTTACATCCACCAAAATACAAAATAGTTCTTATGTTTAAAGCACTTTTGCATTTTTCTATTTTCTCCTAATTTTGACTTCAGATTCATGTGCAGAGGGAAAAAATACATGGAAAAAATATAGTGATACCCCAGCACCCACCATTTTTTTATTTTTTTGTGGACCTGTGTATCGTTTTTATGCATTTTCTCTAAAATCTGTCCAACAATCCACACGTTTGACTTCAGATTTGTGTTGAAGGTGAAAAGATTCAGTATCGGACAAAAATGTTGAAACAAATATTAAAATTATTATGAACTACTTATCTCATATACCTAAATTAAAATTATGAAGGAACAGATAAAATAAATATCAAAGTCTACCTTTGTATCCCGTACTAATATTACTAAAATAAAAATATAATGTTTCCCATGTAATTTTTTTCACGTTGAACACGAATAATCTGAAGTCACAATTGGTGGTCGGTGGACAAATAAGAAAGTCATTCAGGCATTCTTATCACAGATTTTGGCATCTTTGGTGACTATGCATCTCTTCAGTCGTCTCTGAGAGATTTACATCCACCAAAATGCAAAATAGTTCTTATGTTTAAATTACTTTTAAATTTTTCTATTTTCTCCTGATTTTGACTTCAGATTCATGTTCAGAGAGAAAAAATACATGGAAAAAATATAGTGATACCCCAGCACCCACCATTTTTTTATTTTTTTGTGGACCTGTGTATCGTTTTTATGCATTTTCTCTAAAATCTGTCCAACAATACACTCGTTTGACTTCAGATTTGTGTTCAATGTAAAAGATTCAGTAGCGGACAAAAGTGTGGAAATAATATTACCATTATTATGAACGACTTATTTCATATACCTAAATTAAAATTGTGAAGGAACAGATAAAATAAATATCAAAGTCTACCTTTGTCTCCCGTACTAATACAAGGATTATCTTATCAATTCAGGTATTCAAATTCTCTGAAAATAAAAACGCGTTTTTTAATACCACAGTTTTTGTAACGACAACAGTATGGAAACATTTCAGTTTTACCGTATTTATTCGTTCTGCGATACTCTGATATTGCGTGCGGTAAATATAAACATCAGTGAGAATGGCAAAAGTAAAATAAAAGATTCGACAAAAAGTATGAGTTGCCAACAGTTAAGCACGGTGGAGGCAACATCATGGTTTGGGGCTGTTTGTCTAGTTCTGGAACGGGTCCAATTGTTGAAATTGTTGGGAAAATGGATCTCAAAAACTTTACAAAGATATTCTCAACCTATATGAGAAAAAAATAGTCCTCAATAATAAATAATAAAAAATTAGCGCACTTTTTAAAAATTACTAAGAATGTTTCCAAACTTTTGTCCGCTACTGTACATGGACAAAACATAGACGGACCTCAACCACACACAACTGTTTCATTTTGTGGGTCTGTGTAGTTATTGCACGAATTCGTTAACCAAACAGTAAATGCTATTGTCATGTGACAAAACATATTGTTTCACATGACAATATCATTGACGATCTAAGATACAACGAAATTTTTCATAAAACAACAGTTTATTGAGCATACCTTTCAATTATTTCACCGGTACAAACTGTACCAGACGCTTGATTTTCCTCAATAAGGCCTCGACAAGTCCTTTATCCAACTCTGTGCGATCCTGAAAATATTGAAAGTATTACAACACTTGATATCAGATGGAGTTTATCATCATTAACCCCACAGTATAAAACAAACAAGCTGCTGTCGAGCCCAGAAATAGGTATAACGAAGCGGTTCGCAATCTCAAAGAACAGCAAGACTACTTCAAGAAACCAACATTATGATAAAAAATCAAGCTGATTTAGAAAAAAAAGTTCCACAGAAACGGCAATCCAAATGGTGGTTGGAATACTGGAGAAGTACAGATGAGAAAGAATATATTGTAACAATATTTTTAGACTTCAAAAGGGCATTTGAGACTATAGATAGGGAAAAATTGTTAACGAAATTGCGTCACTATGGCTTTAAAGGATCAGTATTGCACATTTTACAAAATTATTTAGTAAATAGAAGTCAAAAAACCAAAGTTGGAAATATTATGTCAAGTGTTCAAAATATATCAATAGGGGTGCCACAGGGGAGTAAATTAGGGCCGTTAGTATTTATTATTTATATAAATGATATCTCTGACATTTCAGAACACTGCAAAATTCCAATATTTGCGGACGATACACTTATATATATATAGCACATAAGCATTTGGACACTGCTTTAGAACTGTTAAATAGTGATATTAAAAAAAAAATATGAATTGGTTAAATGTCAATAAACCCAAATTAAACACTAATAAATCAAAATGTATGTCAATAGGGAAACAGTTAGGTGACAATACAATTAGGCTCATGATTAATGATGAAAAAATTGAAGTAGTCGAGTCTTTTAAATATCTTGGTATATATGTTGATAGTAAGCTACTGTTTCACAAACATTATGAATTCATAATTTCAAAAATATCGAAAAAGATAAATTACTTCTATAGAGTTTCCCATAATCTTAGTATGTATTCCAAAAAAATTGTGTATAACACTATAACTCTTCCCCATTTTTTACATTGTTCAACCATCTTGTTTACAGCAAATGAAAACATATTTTCAAATTTACAAATTCTACAAAATAAAGCTATGAGAACCATTTTAAATAAAAATAAATATACTATCGTCTATGTTAGAAGAACTGCAGAGGTTGGATGTGAAAAATTGCATATATTATTTAGTTCTCATTCTCATATTCAAATTAAAAAATCATTTATTACCACCACATTTAGAGAACTTCGCAAAATTAAATAGTCATTATCATAACTACGACACTAGAGGCAGTATAGATTTTCATGTGCAAAATTGTAATAGTAGCATAACTAGTAAATCTATATTTCAAAAGGGAGTATTCGAATTGAATAATGATATTAAACAAAGTTCGAATTTAAAAATGTTTAAGGTGAAATTAAAATATCACTTTATGAATAATCAAAATACATAGTGACGTAATTTTAATTTTAACAGACAAGAATGTAAAATTACAGAAAATGGATTGAGGAAAAATATGTAACCGAATCATCATACAAAATTGACATTGTAGGAGTAATGCTAAATAAATCTTCAACAACAACAACAACAAACATAAAGAAAACCCATCAATGTGAAAATTTCCATACATTTAGGATACATATTATGCTATAACACTACTCCTATATACATTTTATAAGAAAAATAAATACCTGAGCTGTTTCCAAAAGCTGTTTACTGAAACTATCATTGAAGAGAGAAACTAGACCTTGTTTGAGATTACTGACAGTTTCAGTGCATACCTTCCATGTAGCTTCTGAAGCAGACGCTAGTGTAGCTGAAAAAGTATTCAACGTATATTTCGGCATCTAACGTATTTATAGAGAAGAGTATTTAAGGCTCTAGCCTCATTCCTTTTTGATACGAAACTAGGGCCCTAAAAGTTAACCAGTGTTATGGAACACCACACAGGTTTTACGAATAACTTGCGTTTCCATAAAGTTTAGATCACACTTTTTTACTTTTTACCCACTAATTAAACAGAAACTGTTCGTAAAACGTGATTTTGAAATTATAATTTTCCCTAACCTATGCTCAGGTACCGAAAAGGAAAAGAACAATTCCGCCCTATCCAAGGACATGCAATGAAGCGCTGGCAGCAGCTTGCGATGTGTTCCGCTGGTCCCTGCCTTTTCGGTGCCTGAGTATAAATACCCTGCAAATCCCGCATTGATTTTGTAAGTTAGAATTTGCATTATTGCACATTATACTTACGATCAGAAGTTAAAGAAGCATTTGGAATAGCTGTTCCAAGATTCCTAGGCTTTGGAATTGCTTTCAGCATATAAAAATCGAGATGGGACCATATCAGATACAAGCAATGTTCAATGATAAACGCACAATAACTGATTTCTTTCTTTTTCTTCTCGAGCCGGTCGGTCAGAATGTCGTATGCTTTTTCTCTTTTACTTATCAAATCTGTTACGTCATCTGAGCTGTCGTTGATAAATTGTGTGAGTTCCAAACTGTTCATGTCTGACACCTCTTTCACTTTTCTGACCAACAGATCGTGAGTCACTTTTTCCTAAATATAAAGTTTAAAGTCAATCATCCGTTACATTGTAAAATACAGGGTGTTCTGAAAGTTGGGTCTTCCCTTCTTTACGTTTGAAATAACAAAGCTAATTTAGGGTAACACGTAAAAAAGAAATTGATGAAAACTACTTACTGTTTCTGTGGTATTTGAGGTACTACCCTCACATGTTTTGTTTGTAATTACTGCTTGTTCGATTCAAAAACACGAGGTTGTTCTTACTGTAGGGATGTGCGAGTTTTGGTTTTCAAATGCAGTTTATTTATAAACCAGGTTAACCTACACACCGTGCGGCGTCTGATTTAGATACTGACTCAGATAGTCATAGCACCACAACACGTATGAGGGGAAGGAGGCAGGGCCGGAATGGCATATTTAAGAGTTTTTCGGAACTTAATATATTTGTTACTATAAAAACTTGCTTATTATTTCCTGACCTATACGCTCTGTAAATGAAAGTCCCAAATTTGAAGACACCCTGAATATGTATGCAGCACCGAAAATACATGATATTTTGTGCTATGATAATTATACAATTCTATAAACCTTGTATACGGCAGCACTGGGCTCTGCGATATCCGCATCAAGCCACTGTTGTCATTTCTTAATATTTTGGTTCCATTACCTGATGATGGTAGTTCACTGCACTAATTAGCTGCTGTACAATGATACCCAAGGACATATCTTCTGCAGTGTTTACAGAGTCTTTCTTGTATAATGATAATAGAGGGTCCTTGAGGCTGGGGTGAAATATCACACCTATGCTACCATGTTCTACCCCATTGTTAGCTATAATATTTCTAGCGTAGAACAGCAAATTAGCCATCACCTAAAAACAAGAGATTAAATTCTAAGGTTTATTAATAAGACTGCCGGTTCAGTTGTTCATTCGTATTGACAGTGTAAAGTGCGGACTATGGCATCGTGATCACGTAGTGAGGTAAGGGCAGTTTTACGGTATAACTGTATACGTGGTTTAAGCCCAGACTAGTGCTTAGAAGAAATGACACGTGCATTAAAGAATGATTGTCCCCATCGTAAAACTATATTCCGGTGGTACAAGGAATTCCAAAGAGGCAATGTCACTCTGGAGAACGCTGAGAGGGAAGGAAGTCTGCGAACGTCAGTAACAGAGGAAAACATTACTGTTGTGAGGAAAAAGCTTGACGAAGACCGGAGAGTGACGTACTAACAGATAGAGGAGACCTTACACCTTCATGCACCAGCAATTCATTCAATTCTGCATGACCATTTAGACGTAAGGAAACTTTGTTCTCTCTGGGTACCACATAGTCTGACGGAAGACCAGAAGACTCGTCCATCGACTTGGTGCCGAACAGCATCGTGACAGGTGATGAAACTTGGTTCTATTATTACGATGTGCCGAACAAGGCTCAAAACAAAGTCTGGGTATTTGATGATGACGACACACCCGTAGCTGTCAGAAAATCCCGATCTGTTAAGAAAAACATGATAGCTGTATTTTTCAAATCGAGTGGAATTGAGGAGCGTGTCGTTTTGGACACACAGAAGACAGTCAACAGCTAAGTGGTGCACGGAACAATGCCTGCCCAAAGTCATAGAGTCTATGAGAAACCTGCGGCCAAAGTCAATAAATAAAGCTGTCTTTCAAAACTTTCATAGTACCTTTTGTATGTGTCCAAGTCCATTTTTTCCGTATCTCATTAAAGGAGTTCAAAATACCCAATCACAGAGTGGTTGTAAAACTTTTTGTTTGTTTGATTCAGATCTATTTAACACGATTGCTGAATTACAAAAACAAAACTAGCATCTCTAAGAATTTTCACTGTCTATGAAAACATTCCTTTAATTTTCTTTTGAATAAGGGTGTAAACGTTATGATAGTAATTATTTAAATGGGTGATAGAGGAGGTTAAAAGAACATGGGCAAAACGGCATTTTTTTAGAGAAAAGCGACTTAAAGTAAAATAAAATCTGACAACGCCGCAATGCCAGACGGAAATTACGACGGAACGCAGTGTAAATAAAGATGGAGTTTGTTATTTTTGGCTCTTAGGTATTATTTCATGATTTGATAATGGACTCGTAAAATGCAAACAATTAAAAAAACGGACTTACGACTAACTGTCTCAGCGCTTCACCTGGTGTGTGAAAGTTTACTGAACGTATTAAAAGAATCCATTTATAAATAGGGAACACAATTTTGATACACACATTGTTTTTCTTTTTAAAACGCACACTGCACTTTTTTTGTATCCAAAGAAGGTGTTCAAAATGTCGTCCTCCACTTTCCACACAAGCTTCATTACGACGAACCCAGATTCTTCTTATACTCTAGGTCCTCGAAGTTGTCAATTTATTATTTCAGCTGCATTAAAAATGTTTTCGACGTACGCGAACAAAAAACAAAACAAACATACTAACCACTGTTACCGTTAGCGATCGATTGCCGGTTCGATAAGCGTAATGATGACCGACGCGCTGTTGTCATGTGTGTTTTAAATATTCAATTTAATGAAACTTACTCACTCACTACAAATTTTGGCTTAACTTAGAAAAACTTAATGCCATTTATTTGTTAATTACCCAATTTTAAAACGTTTTAGAATAGATTATAAAAATTAGTAAGATTGTGGTCGATATGAAGCACTTAAAGTTGTAAACTATAAAGCCATTTAGACAAAAATCTTATTGACTTTTGGACCATGGGTCATATGAACTTTTTGACTTTTTTTGACCCCCCTATCATCCATTTCAATAATGACTAAAATAACGTTTACATCCTGTATTTTTAAATTACAAGTAGACTTTATATCATTATTTAGTTTATTAAATTCAAGTAATCCCTTCTGAAATTTTGATTTGCTAGTGACATTACTATTGCAATTTTGTAAATGTAAATCTATATTTCCTCTAGTATAATAATATTGTGGTAATGATTATTCCATTCTATTTATGGTCTAAAATGTGGCAAAAGATGATGTTTTTATTTTAAATATACAAGTACAAACCAAATATGATATGAATTTTTGTATATTCCACCATTTCAATTTTTCTAACAGATCTATTTTGGAATATTTACGTTTTTCAACATTATTCTCGTAGATTTATTTTGTAGGACTTGTAATTTTGAGAATACAGCTTCATTGGAGGCGAACAATATAGTAAACGCGGTAGAACAATTGTATTATAAACTCTTTTTTGGACAATTTTTGAAATAATGTATACATAGTGATCCTCAAACTTCACTTTACTATCATCATGAAATGCAGAAACAGGTTATTGTCATGTCACGTAACTCATGAGCTATCACTCAAACTTACGCATCAAATTTAAATTCATGAATTGACGGAAGCTCAGATGTCTGAGGTGACAGAAGTATAACCTTTGTGCAAGCGATACTTCACGTATCGTGACTAATGCCTTCCCACCTTTATATGTAGTCTAAACGTGCTTTAACAACTTACCTGTAAGGCATACAGCAACCTATCAGAAGTCTGGAATGTGAGTGCAGGCGAAGAAGAAGCACTCAACAGTCGCTTGACTGTGTCATCAGACAGAATGAACTTTGGCAACAGTGCTAACATCAATTTCTGTATCCTGAAGAGCTTCGCCCTGTTGTTATGAACTATGTTCGGATTTTCTAGAATGTTTACCAAGTTATTGTTGGCTGTCCGTGCCAATACTGATGTCAGCAGCGCCAATTCTTTCAGATTCATCGCTGACATATCGGGACTTCCTGATCGTAGCACTAATTCTATGCCATCAAGATGATTTAACAGGAAATGCATGATCTGCGCAACCGCTGAGTGATTCTCAGTACCGAGTGTGGTCAGCACTGCGTTACTAATGTTCAGTGTCGGTGTCCATATTTGCAGAAACTTTTGTTCCGTTGGTGGTAGGAAATCCTCCATTAAATTTTCCTCCTGCCACGCTTTTGTGACTTCGGGATGATACGTGAACACTTCCATATTGCTGAAAACCGTGAAAAATTTCTGCTCCAGCAATAACTCTGCTCCAAGTTTCGTCGACGCTAACTTTGCTAGTAGCATCAGCTTCGCCATATACAGATATAATGGCTTGATTGACTCTGCTTGAGGTTCCAACATGTTTTTCAGATCTTCCTCGCTATCTTTAATACTTTGGATGATGTGTTTCAAATATCCTCTTCCCGAAATGTGCATGATCCAGTTCATATTTCCAGTTACTGTTATCAAATGGCTGAAAGTGGACATTGCTAGTATTTTACAAATCTCTTGACCTCCGATACAATCGTGACAGGTTATTTCGATCAGCTTGTCCCCAAAAGAAGTTAAAACGTCACGTGAGAATGGAAGTTGCAATTCTTTGCTGTGTAAACTGAATCTGGAGCTATCTAGGCGGCTGACAAATAAACTTTCGTTATGTACGATTTCCTCGTGGTCGTCATCCATATTTGTTAGTTGCAAGAATATGATAAGAGCCGAATACAAGTTTACTCTCAACTCACTATCAATAACGTCTGACACCATAATCCATCCGACCAGATTTTCGAGTATCTCCCTCAACAGCGCTGTGTATAGTTTGATCACGTCCGTCTTTGTGTCATTGTCGACTACTATTATCTTTTGAAGTTTCCTGTTTCTCACGTAACATTTTTTCAGACTATCCATGAATATTAGCACGGCTCCGGAGATATACCTTGATACATCTGGCAGTAGTTGAGCTTTAGCGATATTTTTAAGTAAATGCTTCAATAACGAAATACTAACAACTTGCTGCTCTAAAAGTGACAGTATTTCTATGGGTATATATAACAGCAAAACTTCAGCGACGTGCCTCCAAGCATCGACGAATTGACAAATGACAGCACATGTTTCATTCTTTTTATTTATTTCCAAGGCGTATTTGAGCACTTTGGGAATCTCTTGGGTTATAGCTTGAATCTGTCCCATAACAGTAGTGCCTTGTAATGATTTTAGTTCATCTTGCAGTATTTGATGAAGTCTCTTCAGATCAATTAACTTTGGTGATACTGTAGTCTGACAGTTCTTCAAAATTTGGTTAAGTACTGTAGTGTCAAAGAATTCAAATGTGGGTTGCACCACCTCTGGTGCATTGACTTCAAAGTGCTTGACCAGGGAGGACATGAAGTTGTCCATTTTGATATCATCAGACATTATAATTTTGCTGCTTTCTAGCAAACTTTGCTGGACCAACGAAAACATATTGCTTGTCTTTTCATCTTCTACCGGGACACCAACAAGAAAAGTTGTCATTTGTTTCAGGTACGATATCTGTTTGATACCACTCACAATCTTTAGCTCAACGGCAAGTGTTTTCATCAACCACGATAGTTGGTTGAAAATTGTCAACCCTTGGTCGATGTTGATGTATGCTTTTATCAAATGATCTTTGTAGAATGTTTTATTTAGTCTGATAAATCTCAAGACAGGGTGAGCTGTTTTTGTATCAGCAGAAAGTAAATACAACAAATGATATGTTGACTCCAGAATGGTAGATGAAGGTGGCGTAGAAAAACCACTGATTGCACCGTCCATTATTGAGATAATAGAATGTAAGCAGGTTCTTGGGAAACCCATGACGCCTGGAAACTGAAATTCAGTCTTTGCCACGTCCCTCTTTATATCGAAACCCATTAGAAAATGTGTCAAATTTGGAGTGTTATGATGCAAGCATTGTTTCAATAATTTCAGGATTTCCAATTTTGTGTTTTCAGCTAATTCATATTCAAAAGAATTGTCCAGACTTTCAACAAATCCGCTACGTATTGAATCCTTAATTTCATCCATTGCTAGCAATATTGTCATGAACTGACTATGGGCAACTGGCGAGCTAGTTATGTTTGTTAAGACTTTCACAGTAACTAGACTATGTTCCATCAGGTATGGTTGGTAAGTGATATACTTAGCAATATTGATACAATGATCAGGTTTACTGCTCCTTCTATTTATTGAAAGAAGCAACTTACTCATGCTTGTCAACATAAGGGATGCTGAGGATGCAGACAACAGAGTGCTGAACTTACTTTGCAGAACTAAGACCCTTAGTATGATGTTCATACAACTCAATGTACATTTTTTCACCTTTTCTTCACCATCAAAGCTGGTGTATGTATCAAAATATTTGGTGCCTTCATCAATGATGTCCATGATGATGTTGAATAGTTCTGACTTGCTGTTCAAATGGAGCATCAAGTGGAATCCGGGAGGCGAGTTGAAATCTTTTTGCATATTTTTGGGAAAATCGGTAAATTTCGGATCGTATTGTGACAAAAACTTCTCAAACAACTGCAAGCATAATAGTGCAACTTCCCATTTCTCCGTGCCTTCCCTGTAAGACCTTGAAGCGAACTTCAAAAATACAGACTCCATGATGAATGTCAGATATGGATCAAAACCTGGCCTCCGCGGCCCAGCACCTAGGGTTCTAGGAATGCCGAAACTAGTCAAAACATCGAGCAGCTTCAAAAAGGCTCTAGTGAGCGGATATTCTTCCATACGCGATTCTATCTCTTCCAATTCGGTTTGGATACCTCTTGGTGCATAACTCGAAGTGGTTGGGATTGTAACAAGTATCTGGGATGCTTCGAGGTTCTCCCACATCTGAGACGCATTCTCTGATGACTTGGACAGTGCTGCAAGTGTTAGTAACAGATCAGCCTTGAGAGGGATCGGTATGGAGCAGCTTACTAAGCCCAGCAGAATTGTTAGAGGGGACCACCCTGGAATAAAATAACGAATTTACAATATTGTAAGTGGACAAACATAAATTTATGTCATACCATTGAGTTAGGGGGAGGGGGTTATGTAATGCGTTTAACTATTTTTTCACAATGTGTGTGTGTCAAAATTTCAAATCGTTCGGAGCAAAACCGCCAAATTTCTTGTTCTCAGTCAGAGATGAAAGTAGGCGTTTACAATGGAGCCGATCAGATGTTCATAGCTGAGCAGCTGGGTTTTGTAGCTGCCAATGTGTGCCTCTTTTAACTTTTTTATCTTCTCTCATATCTAAGCTAAATTTTAACCGTTTATTGTGGGATGAAGATTACATTGGAACAGGTTCAAGTGAAGATGAGGATCTTGAGCTGATTATAGGTGTTCCAATCAGCAGAAATCAAAATTACATAGGCAGGTGTTAATGATTTTGATCAATTTGTTTCGATCATGTTATTAGTGATTTTAATCCCAAATATTCCATTCGACTCAATTAAAAGCGAAGTGTCGTTAAAATTCCACTCAATTTCCTCCTCTGTTACTGTTGCAGAGCAGGCTTTCTCTAAAGGCGAGATAATGATTTATTCCAGCTCGAAACTTCGTACCATTTGAAATAGTTCGTCAAAAAACAATAAATTCTCTCAAATTCCAGGTCTACCACTCGGAAACTTGGTCATATTAAATTTTACTTCAATCCAGAATAGTTCCCGGAAGTATACTAAGTGACATATAAATCCGAACACCCAGTTTAAATGATTTTATTTTAATAAAATTTTGTATAAGTACTTAATGAAGCATAATAACTAAATGATAAAAAATTCAAAATGATTGCACTGCTTTAAAGCCCTTTGACCTTTAATAATGTGTGGATGCACCCTGATGTGCTACGCATTCTCCAACGCGCCTAGGCATGCTTCTGATCAGGTGGTCAATGTCCTCCTGTGGTATCTCATTCCAGGCAACCACCAACTCCTCTCGAAGTGCTTCTAGAGTCTGAGGAGGACGTTGCAAATTGAGCAATCTCCTACCCATCATATCCCACACGTGCTCAATTGGGGATAAGTCGGGAGATGTTGCAACATGTGGTCGGGCATTATCTTGTTGGAAAGTTGGATCTACCAGGGTGTCAAGATAGGGTAAAAGATGGGGTTCTAGAACTTCGCGGATATATCGCTGCGCGTTCATGTTACCTCTGATGAAGATTAAAGGTGACCTGGAACCATAACTCCAACAGTGTGATGAACAACAAAACTGTGGATTCCTCCTTTCACCACGTCGCCTTCTAACCCTGGCACGACCATCGTGCATGCCTAAACAAAATCGAGACTCGTCACTACAGACAATACTGTTCCATTCCTGATCCCAGAGTGACCGTTGTCTGCACCACTCAAGGCGATTACGTCGGTGTTCTCGATTTAAAGGGAGGCCCAGTGTGGCCGATATGAAAACAAGCCAAAACTTCTCATTCGTCGGTAAACACTTCGCATACCAATAGGTCTTCCGTGTTCTGCAAACCATTCATTTGCAATGGACCTGATAGTGGAGAAACGGTCCCTTAAGGCCAATAATCTTAGGCGGCGATCTTCACGGTCTGTTGTTCTACGGCGGCGTCCAGTGCCCCTTGCTCTTTGCGTACGGCCTTCTCGAAGCCATGCCTGACAACACCTAACCACAGTGTCTACACTTCTTTGCACTCTAACTGCAATTGCCCGAAAAGAAAGTCCAGCTTCCCGAAGTCCCACTATACGGCTCCTATCAAACTCACTAAGTTGACGAAATCGTACAGGTCTCCGTACTCTAGGCATCGTAACCGATCGTAAAAGATGTCAAGAACCAAAATCCGCCAACGTTGATTCTTTACTGCGGCTGAAATAGTCATTTTTAGAGCGTTAGTGAATTAAAAAAAAAGCAGTATAAAAACCGGAATGTCCAACTGATAAGGCTGAAAATTTTTTCACTTGTTATTTACAGTAAGATAAATACATTCACCAACTTTTATTAAAATAAAACCATTTAAACTGCGTGTTCGGATTTATATGTCAATTAGTATATAATAATTGTATGGTACTTAATTAAATATTTCAGCAATGCTTGTATCGACAAACACAATCTTGTAAATGGGTGTGTCTCTGTAAAGTGGTCAACTGGTTGTCTCCTACCATAATAATGTAAAATAGAAGAGATTATTATTTATTTCATTACTATTTTCGAAACATAATGATCTAGTCCACCTGTCCTTAGTATGAATTATCTATATAAACTACTGTTAATATTCTAAAAACATTGTTGTAATGCTCAAAAAACAGTCCTCTGGTATGTCACCAACGCGTTGCAATGACTTTTGATTCAGGTATTGAAACAAATAAGTTTGGAAATCGACTAATTCAAGTATTAATTTAAACATAATACAGGCTTATTTTTTCATTTATCTATTAAAAAAAGAAAAAACAGATTAGTCTGAGTTGGTATATTTCAAATGACGTGGCATAAAGCCTAGAACGCAAAAATATCGTTTTATTGCGTTCAACGAAACGCGAACAGAGTGAAGTTGACGCGGTTGCTACAAGAGCGGCCCTGAGGCCATCTTCTTCAGTGCTGCACACGTGTTGCTCCGAGTTACCCGCGTCAGAACCTAAAAGCCTACAGTCCTCTGGTAAGAAATATTTAAATTCCTTTCTGTGTTTTTAAGTCATATTTCACATAATGTACTTTATTCAAATAGATAATTTTCATTTGTATGCATCAAAATAAAACAAATGGATACTGTATTGTGCTACTTATCAATCTAATCTAACTGAACAGTCCCGTGGCAACAGTCCCCTGCATTTAAACAGGACAGGGGATTGTTCTTACTTCCAGAGGATTGTCCTAATGTGTATGCAGGATTGTTATAGGCACAAGATATTGTTACAACATAGCACCAAGGAAGAAAACACGGACGAAGGAGGAAATATTACAAAAGAAAAGGGATGCTGAATGGAAAAAGTACGAGCGCCTCAAGAACGACCCGCGGAGAAGGGAAGAGCTAAGAGAAAAGGGACACCTGAAATACCTTAAAAAAGAAAAAGAAAGGGGGACTAGGAAGCTTGTTAAAGATATGACGCCACGAGATCACCGGTAGGCTAAAAAGAAATGGAGAGAGCGTTGTTCTGCTTATCGGAATAAGAAGAAAGCGTTGACAAATATAAGTAACACTTATCTGCGAGAAAATACACCACATTCGGAAACATCGCACTCATCCCGACCAACAACACCTCAAGATGTTGATATGTTCAACAAACGAATTAATAGGGACAAGAAACTTAGATGTCAAATAAAAAAGAAAAAAGATGAGATTAAATTACTAAAATGAAAATTATTGGAACATAGAAAATGTGTTTCTAGACTGATGAAAAAGGAAAGAAAAATGTGTAAAGATAATAACTAGCAGATAGTCCAGAAACTAAGAAAGATCTAGTCAAGAAAGCATTGTTTGGTGAGGTGTTAAAAGAACAATTACAAGAAAACTTCTCAAACATAGAAGCATTGAAAGAAAAAACGCTTTTGACCAAAGTAGTATTCAGAAAACTACTGGAAAAATACAAATTATGGCATATGGAAAACACAAAGTGATTAATTACAGAAGGATAAAAAAAGCAAAACTACTCGGAGGACGCGTCGTCGGAAAATTCTATAACTCTTTGGACTTAAAATCCGAGTCAGTTGGGATAGTGATGAAACATCTAAGCTGCTTTTGTAACAAAGATGGTTGCCTTCACTTTAACATCGGAAAATTAAACTATGAAAATAATGTTAAACTAACAGATGCTGAAGAATTCACCGATGAAGCCGGACTCAGCTCTTCCGCAGCTAAAGCACTCATCAATGGAGATTACATCCTAGTCGAATTAGTCTAAAAAAATATGCAATGTAGATATGTAAGCACGAATATACTTTTTTAATTTATTACCTCCGGAGATCAAAAACGTAAACTCCGTAGGGCTTTTCAAAAGACGTTTGCGGAACAAGCTATCGGACTGCGGTTTTTATGACCTAGGTGAATTTGTCACATTCCACAGTGCTTCTGATAGATCTTAACAAATAATTTATTGCCATGTGTGTATCATATGGTTTTTTTATGTTCTTATTTATTATATTGTTATTTGTATTTTACTTCCTTTTATCTATATTTTAATCTGTATACACCGACTTATCCAATGTCTACAATGTAGATCTAACTGGATCAATAAATGAATCTGAATCTGAATCTAATAAACAAAATTGATGGAGATGGAGACATTCGAGTTACTTTTTTGAAGCTTTACGATAATAAAGGTCAAACATTTAGAATGGATCCGGACGATATAGCAGATATTACAATGGATCAAGTGATAGAAAAATTACCTAATCCAAACATACTTTCAAAGGGAAAAATAGACTATTTTATACATTTGATCCACCTATTAATGTTTTTGAAAAAAGCTAAGCTTTGTAAAACTAATGGTTGTGTGTAAAAGACTGATTATGTTACCTTAAGCTTACAAAGTTTTGTACCTGTAACAAGAGTATAATAAAATTATTGATTTTTTTCGTAGTTTACCGAAGAATTACTATAATTGTTAATTTCCAAGTTTAGAGAAAATAAAATATTTAATTTTGCTAATATATTGGTATTTTTAATTTGAGTACACAGTCCCCTGCCATAACTGACAGTCCCCTGTGTCAATAATTTAGAAAATGTTTAATATTTCCTAAATCATGACCTATATTTTAAGGTTCCCCGTGGTTTGTCATTAAGCTTGAAAGTATACATCTCCTAAGTAAGATGTTTCAAACATTTAAGCAAAAAAGTGGGCAAGACAGTTTTTCCAAATAAGTTGACCAGTTTACAGAGAAACGCCCAAATATGCATTTTTTCACAGAATTAACCTTACCCCCCGCTCCCGCTTGCCGCAGATTATACGATTTTTTTTCTGTCGTTGCGAAACACTGATATCTATTATAAAATTATGGAAGAGGTTGGGAAGTGTTATTGCCTTGGAAGGTTGGTGTCATGTCTAAGAATAAATAATTTTCTTTAAAATGAAAACTGTTCTGTTTTTAATACTTCACAGCATATGGTTCGGCATCTTGAAGAATATGTTAATCAATGATTGTACTTGAAAATATTGGCAAAATATTCATGATTTTAAGTTATCAGTTTTTATTCAAAACATTTACAACTTACCAGGATGTTCACATAATGCCAACCGAGAAAACTCATCATGTTCGGCTACAGTCCTTATGAGTAGCAATACTGTATGTAAACCTTCTATTTCTTGAGGTGAAACACCTTTGTGGAAGGCAGGCCGATTTCTGTAAACTGTATCCGTCTGTAGTGGCGTTTCTGTTCTTAGATTATTGTAGTACTGCGAGAATGACATGAAGAAGTGATCCCAGGAGAGATTCTCTGATATCTGAGTGCCAACTTGTTTTAGCATGTTGAAACAGTGTCTTGCTGTTTGTTGAGATGAAGACAGACCACTTAACATCTTGATGTATGGGACGAATAAAGTTGGTGGGAGCACATCACCTGCTAGTCTTATGAACTTGAATAAAGAAACAGATCTTGGAGGTACTCTGTATGATAAGTTTTGGTTGACATTGATTTCAGTTGGATTCCAGTAGCTTAAGACATAGTCAGTGTTTAGTTCATCATTGGAATAAAATTTTCCAACAGTCAGCAACAGATATTCAAAATATCTTGGCAAGTGAGCAGGCGCTTCCAAGCCCTCCCTGATGTAAACTTGCATAGTTCTTGCAATTTCATCTGCTTTCATTCTCAAGTCCTTCACTTTAGGATACATAGAAAAAATGAAATCTGAAAGTAAATTGTGGAAACGCTTGTACAAGTATGGCTCTTTGTACAGTGTTTTGTTCTCCAAAAAGATGGTATGCATAAAGGTAAACACATTCATCTCAATGGCAGTATCAGCCAGTGCATCTTCTCTATTAATGGCATCTTGATATTTGAAGCTTTGTGGCACATCTCTTAAGAGACTGATACAAACAGCAAGGCCAAAGGTAGACAGGGCTTGTAAGCCATCAGACACCCACTTTGGCTTATCAGGTGTAAATTCATTGACAATTGTAGATATATATGTAGGGTCTGATAAAATAGGCAACCTCTGCACCACTTCTTCACCATCTTCACGACTATGTAGTATGCTCAGGTCCAAAGCTGATAAAAGAGCCATCTCTAGATAGAGATTTACATCATCTATTTTACCAGAAGCTTCTACTTCAATTTTAACTTCTTTCAAATGATTTATCAGCCCTAAAGTAGGTTCCTTTGGCAAACCGCTTTGTGCTGCCCAAGTAAAAACTATCTCAGCTAAGAGAGATCTGATATCATTGAATAAATCTATAACTTGACGTCTGTGTCTGGGACCTCCCAAAGCAAGATTCTGCTGTAATTTTTCCAACTCCTTGCTGAGATCCAAGGTCCTGAGAAGCTCAAAGATCCTGTTAAAGATTCCTCCTTCCATAAGCTGATTAGTATAGTCAGTAACAAATCTTGCTGTATCTAGTTTGACATTGACACTCCACTGTACACCTATCCGAGCTTGTACCAAACATAACAGCGTTGACACCAGTGCTTTTCTGCCATCATAGTACAACAGCACAGCAACTAGACCTCTGGGTAAAGAAGGGTAACAAGGCATTTGCAGTTGTGCTGTGCAGAGCAAATCCAAAGCTACAAATTCGTTGATATCAAACATGTCTGAAAGAATGATGGCTTCTTGGTAGAGCTCTTTGGATAAAACTTGATGACCTATGCCTTTGATGTGAATGCCTTCAATCATCCCTCGTTTCAAGTCTTCTCTGCATTTTGGATTTTTTGGCTAAAATCATTATTGTTTTGTCATGTACAGTCTGAAAGCAGGCCAATATGGAAAATAATTGCAAGTATGGCAACTGTAGAGATGCTCCAAAAGAGTTAGCTTGTTCCTGTTTTTTTGTAAGGTATGGTATGAATGCTTTAATATGAGAACAGAACATCAGTAGCATGAAACAATGCAATATAATTTAAATCAGATGGTTTCAGTTGGACTGTGAATGTCACCAATGCAAATTACACTATCAGGTCTAAAACTGGAAATATGTTGGAAATCATCTCACATCCATATAATGTGAAAAAACAAAATCTTATGCTAAAATCAAATGCAATAAAATAAAGGCAATTTTTTCTGTACCTAAATTTATTCCAATAGTTTGGAATCATGAATGTGTATACTAGTAATATTTCCTATATATAAATTTAATGTCACTTGAGGCATAACCATTAAGGTGTTACTTGCATGTATCTTATTGGTCATGTTTTAGGGCCATATTGTCAGTCATTCATACAATTGTAGGATGCCTTTATTGTCTCCAGGATTTTCATAGTCTTTCCTCTCATTCAGAAAGGCTGGGGAATTCCTATATTTCTACTGTTCTGTGTCAGAATCAGCGCTATCATATTGTGAGGCCAATCTCTCTTTTTGAATTATAGGAACTTTCAGGCTGATATAACAGATGATTACATCAAAAGCATGAACAAGATAGATATTTGTAACATGTCAAAATAGAGAACTAGAAAACTATAAAAATCAATTGTAGGAATGACTGATAATATGGCCCTTAGGCATTAAGTGACACCTTATTGGTTCTGACCTGCCACACACTGGTTAAGGGGCATGGGAAGAAGACAGAGGATCAATGTCATGTGGCAATATTACTTATTATACACATGCCTACTGCGCTCTGTTTTATCAGTTATTTGGGTGCAGCCTAAAGCAGAGTCATGATTAATTGCTCAAGTAGAAGAATGTATGGGCAGCATTGAGAGCAGAGCAATGGGCAGCACAAGTTTCATAATGTAGCAGAGGCACTATATTCAGGTTTGCATGAATCCAGCATAAATACATTCATGGATACTCCACGAACACTAATTGATAGCACTTACTGGACTCTGCAATAGAGAGTAAAAGTTTTGCTTGTGTTTCCGCAAAGCGGTTTCTAGCTCTCCAGTTAGTAGATCCTCGGCAGGTTCATTTAAATGCTTCCAGATTATTCCTCTGAGTTCTTTATAAGGGTTCCACAAATCTTCTGTGTTTACGCTAAGCAACACTAGAAAAAGTTGTTCGTTAAAGTATGATCTTAAGTTTGAGAAGTAAAACTTACCTTCATTCATTATGACGAACGTTCACTGACTTTTGAATACACACAAGCAAGTGTTTTCTATTTTGTCTTGCTTCTAAAAATCTTCAGGCCACAAAAACAAAACGGCTTTTAGCTTGCAGTGCACTTGTTGAGGTTAGAAAATCAAACCGCTTTGGCTATCGTATCGAGAGTTCGATCACAGTTCGATAGATTGAGGTACGGGAAAAGAACTTCACAAATTATCCTCTCAACCAGCTATCTTTTGTTATTGGTTTATGTGTGTTCGTACTTGTATTACCACTCTGCATAAACTATCTAAAAAACTGAAAAAGTAAGTAGACGCGGACATTCAATATTGCTGACGAAAAACTGTGTACCCTATTTATAACTATTGCGGAGATGCGGGTTGTCAAAGGTGAATGTTTTTTTTCTTTAGATGTTGTCCAATATCTCAATAATTGAAAAATAAAATCCTATTGTATGTATGTTATTTCGTTGAAAGAATTTAACAGATCTGCGATCAAATGTGTAGGGCTTTCCGGGTAAAAAATATATATCCTTGGGTCACCACGTAGTTCTGAATCACCCACTGTAGAGATAAAAATTTCGGCTACTTTATTAAATACCATCGGTGGTAATAACGGAGTTATCGACCTAGTCCACACCGAAAATTCACCCTATATACATACAAGGAACAAAAAATTTCTCTGAAGGCTTGAGTTCAATGTGTACAAGAAGAGAAGCGCTTGAAGTGTTTATCAACACATATATTAGGAAACCGCTGAAGGGCGAAGGTCGGCACGACATTACCTACCAACGGTGACGCAGCAGGTCATGCAATCTGCAATGTTACACCAGAAATTCCAAGAAGGAGATCTGTTCGAACATTTAATTCAATATTTTGTTTTCATTTTGATTAGAAATATTTATTTCATTTTGATGCGGCTCAACGTTTTAATTTATTTTAGAATCATCTTTGATTCGGAATCGATCCTAAACAGATGCGACACAAGTCACAATTCAAACATGTGTACGCTCAAAATAAAACCATTATTTGGGCGTAGAGAATAAGCTAACGCATGTTGTTAACATGCATCTCAATTCAAGTAACTGGTGTAACATATTGTCAACTCGGCAGATTGCCACGACCTTCTGCGTCACCGTTGCTAAGCTACGCGGTGATGAGCTTCGCTATCCAGTCGGCTTCTATCGGTTTCTAACATTTGTATCTATACACGCTTCTCTCTCGTACACATTGAACTCAAGCCTTCAGATACATTTGGTTCTCAGTGTATACTGCACTATAAAATGCTACTCCGGGTGGAGAGCACCAGAGAAAACTGCGATTTATAGCTTTATGAAAAACGAAGTTATTCCCAAAACCAAATTATACAACCCCCCTTTCACCAACTCATCAGCAAAATCTTTGCTGTCAACTTGTTCATCTCACCCTCCATCTCCAACACAACACAACACAACCATCACATTAATGACTACAGTATATTCAGATAAGAGATAGACCGGATGTAAACAAAAGGTTCGAGTGATTTTCACGCTAACGCCGCCGTCTCGACGTAAAACAGGAGCCCTCATTGGTCAATTCGCAATTAAATGCCTATGCCGAGCGGCAGAGCAGTCGTATCAAGGCAGAGTCACATTCAGGTTCAGACGTGTTACGTATGTCGTGTGCATCATTGCAATTTGATATTTCTTTGGACGTTTTCGTTTGTTATCTTATTAAGTTGTTGAGTTTGTCGTTGTTATTGTTATACCTTGTTATTGATTGTTATTGTTATCAGCTGCTTGCGCAAAATGCCCAGTAGTACAGATACTGCCGACGAAGTTGTAAACTCCTGTAGTCCACCTAGGAAACGCTCTAAAAAAGACACCTGAGTGCAGAAATGAAAGAGGTCATTTTGAATATATATAAGATCGAGCGCGAGGAGAACGAGGCATCAACCATCAAAGAAATTGTTGTGAAGGTTTCTCACAAAGTTGGGGTGTGTCGCGCATCAGTGTTTAATGTGTTAAGACAATACAAAAAAAATCACACCTTTTCTGAGCCAATGACCAGTAAACATCGCAAAAGTATTGTTAAATCATTGGATGAAGCTGATAAGCATGCGATTAGGAGGAAAGTGCATGAATTCTTCTTTAGGAATGAAGTACCTACTATAGATAAAGTACTGCAGGAGGTAAATGGAGATACAACGTTGCCAAATTTCAAACGATCAACTTTCCATGCGTTACTGAAGCATTTAAATTTCAAATGGAAAAAACGGGGTCGTAATAGTTTACTACTGGATAGAGAAGAAATTGTGCTATGGAGGAGGAAGTTATAATTTGTTAATATTTATATTTGCGTGTATTTTAGGTTCCTGATCATTCATTTTTTAAAGGTTTATAACTTTAAATTAAATTGTGAAGCGCTGAGTAATCATACGACGTTCAATATTCTTTCTTTCAATATGACTAAATAATCCCAATTATAGCAATCTGATACTCATGTCTCAATGTTTTTTCGCTGAATGTGATGAAAACATTTGAAAAAGGTTCGCTTATTGAAATAAATTTACACCAGTTAGTACTTCGATTTCCAGGTAAAGGGAAAAGGCTCATTATCTGCCATATTGGCAGTGAGGATGGATTTGTTGGATTTGTTGTTGACGGTCTGTGGTGCTTTGAGTCTAAGAAAACTGGAGATTACCACGAGGAAATGAATGGCGAATCGTTTGAACAGTGGTTTTCAAAAATTTTACCGAACTTAGAGGAAAACGCAGTAATTGTGTTGGATAATGCGCCTTATCATTCTCGAAGAATGGAGAAGGTCCCAACAACGGCTTCAAGGAAAGTTGATGTTCAAAATTGGCTCCGCTCGAAAAATATCAACTTTGAAGAAGCAATGCTGAAAGTACAATTATTAAAAATTGTCAAGGATCACAAGGCGGAATATCAAAAATACGCCATTGACGAAATGGCAGCAAGTAGAAATAAAACTGTGCTCCGTTTACCTCCATACCATTGCGAGCTCAATCCCATTGAGCTCATATGGGCAGAGGTTAAAAATTATATAGCTAAGCACAATACAACTTTTAAATTTTGTGACCTCAAAGGACTTTTCAAAGAAGCACTAGAATTAATAACAGCGCAAAAATGGGAAAACTGTATTAAGCACGTGAAAGACAAAGTTGAAAAGAGAATGTGGGAACTGGACAATATTTTAGAGGAACAAGTCGAGCCATTCATTATTGACGTTGGTGCTTCAGGCAGTAGCGATGATGAAAGCTCATCAAGCTCATCTTTCCAATAAAAGATGTCGTTCATCAAATTCGGTAAGTTATAAGTAATTATAAAGCTACTGTATTTTTTAATTAATTATTGACATTTTTGAACCCATTTTGGCAAAACCTATTCAAGAATCTACTTTCTGACAATGTTCAACCATGCACATTTTTTTACGTTTTGAACGTTTTAATTTGGTTACATATTTATCTAGAAATCAAAAAATATACTAATCAATATTCTAAAAGCAATTTTAAGAGATATACGATTATTTTTAATTTAGGCTAATTTAAACGCCATTTTGAGATTATATTCGACTGTATTTCACCAAACATCAGGCGGCATCCGAAGCTGGAAATCGAAGCGAAAATTTTGAAACCCTTATGTATTTTTACATCATTATATATTTCTTACCCCACCCCCACATGATCCTATATCCATCACCAATCGTATACACATCGAATTGTGCTAATTTACTACAAAGTTACGCAAAGCAGCATCTACTATCTAAAATATGTACTGCGTGACTCTTAATACGTCCCTGCCGAATGTTACAGCGTTCGATGATCACGTGGTCTTGTTTATGTCCGGTCTATCTCTTATCTGAATATACTGTAGTATCTGTTCTATCGAAGTCTCGATACGATAGAGTCAAAGTATGCTCAAACGTCAAAAAAGTTAGGTTATTAGCAGCGATTTTGAAAATTGTAATTTATTTTGATTAGCTTATTAATTATACTCAATTGACATGAATTGCATAGCAGTAGTGATTAGGAATAGTTCTCGTATTGGTTGTCGTTTTCAGCATCATTGGGTAAAGCCAAAAGGTTTTGATACGGGAGTAAAAGTATACAATTGTACAACAAAACAGAAAGAACCACTGATAATAAGGAATAAAAATTATCTTACATGGTACACTTGTGGGCCCACAGTTTATGATTCTTCACACATTGGACATGCTAGCTGTTATGTAAAACTAGACATCATACAAAGGATATTAAAAGACTATTTCAAATACAATGTAGTTACTGTTATGAACATAACTGATATAGATGATAAGATTATTCGAAGAGCAAATCAGGAGAATGTATCATATGCTGATGTTGCCAAGAAGTATGAAGAAGAGTTTTGGTCAGAGCTTTGTGATCTAGGTGTCACTGAGCCTAATGTTGTGTTACGAGTAACAGAAAATATGGAGTCAATTGTTAGTTTCATAGAAAAATTGGTTGATGAAAATAAAGCATATAAAGCTTCAGATAATTCAGTTTACTTCAGTGTTGATACTTGTAAAGCATATGGAAAACTACAAAATATAGGTAAGAATGATAAACAAAAAAGTTCAGTGAAAAGATCAGTTTTAGATTTTGCATTATGGAAACATAGTGAAGACGAACCACATTGGAATAGTCCTTGGGGTAAAGGAAGACCTGGATGGCATATTGAGTGCTCAGCATTAGCATCAAAAGCTATAGGTATATTTTTAAATTTATTCTTTTATATCTGTATTTCCTTATATCATCAATACAAGGTTGTAAGTTATTTAAAAAAACCTAGATCTTCAATATTTTAGGGTCTGCTATTGATATTCATGCTGGGGGAATAGATTTGCGGTTTCCACATCATGAAAATGAGGAAGCTCAGTCTTGTGGTTTTCACAACACATCTCAGTGGGTAAATTATTGGATACACACTGGATATTTACATAAGAAACATTCAGAGAAAATGTCAAAGTCACTAAGGAATACTGTTCTTATTCAAGATATGCTGCAGGTAGGATACTGTTATTAAAGATTTACATACCTAAGTGCTATCAAATCAGCTATTTTTTGTTTCAAATTTTAGAGGAGTGTGTACCATGACCTCCACTGTGATTCAAATATGAGTAGAAAACTCTGTTAGGTATTCTAGACTTTTCTTGTCTAATGTATACTGATACTGAAACTTACACAATCTGAATTATTGCTACAACTTTGTCTGCTTGTCAATTTTCCTGAATGGTATATTTATATAATAATAATAATAATAATAATAATAATAATAATGTTTATTGGAGTATTATAATAGAATCAAAATATGAGCAAATAATATAACACAAAAAAAAAAAATATAACACTTGTTGAGACCAAAGTGCTAAAAAGTATTAAATTTCTTGCATCTGCTTGAAAAAAGATTCATTGAAATGTGTGACTTTTCAAACAATGCTTGAATTGACTCGCATTTTTATTCAGGGCCATCTCAAAATCAGCAGTGGATCAAGGGCATGTGCGCCACACAGTGCTGTCTATGAAAAGACAGATATTTTTATGTTGTGCATGCACAAACAACACTGATTTTTTGTAGGCATCTTTTTCTACAAATATTGTTTTCTTTATTAGAACTTTTACAATGAACATATGTACTAGTTACTCTTAAAACTCCTTTGCAACCATTCTGGAAACTCGTTTTCTTATTCTTTTTTATAAGATTTTGAATATTTTCTGTTTTACCCATGAGCATGAAATCGCATCTCATAAAATATTAATTTAATGTTTAATTGATAACAGACGAACTTTGCTTTCTTTACTGATTGTCCGGTGGTGCGATAATGAATACAGGGAAAGCAAAGTAAGAGATGTTCATACATGATCATAGGCAACCCAAATCTACGTCCTGACTGCCTGAGTTCACCCGTATTTATATGATTGGTATGGGGCTTAAAACTACATAGACTACGACATAGTTTTAACTTTTTCCAGCTTTATCTTTGGTTCTTGCTTTTTCGGTAAACATCTGTAAATATCTGAAATATTCTCACTTCAGTAGAAATTCCGAAAAATCGGTAGATTCGGCAACACTGATTAGTGGTTTATATGGGCATATATAAGCATATAGGTGACTACAGCGCCATCTATGACATGCTAAACTTTCCAAAGTATATACACAGTCAAGACAAATTCTGATAGATGATGCTACGGTATCTCATTTCATCTCGGAAAATTTCGTGGACGCAAGAATAGAGTATTAGGTTGGCTATCTTCAGGTATAATAGATCAATCAATGATTGTAGTTAGAAATATTAGTGTGCCATTTCTAAATTTTCATGTTAGCTGTTTGTTTGGTGCAAGATATTATTTTTAAATTTTTTTACAGGAGACAACTGCAGATGCCTTTCGGATGGCCTGTATCCTGTCAAAGTACAGAAGCAACATGGAATTCAGTAAAGACATGCTGAAAACAGCGGAAAATGTCTATGGTGTATTTAAAAACTTTATAACCACTTGTGATGATTTCAAGAGCCAATACCTGAAAGCTACAATAAACCATGAACATTTGATAGCTGCTTTAAACAAGTGTGCTGAGGATATTCACAGTGCTTTATGTGATGACTTTGATACCCCTTTAGTGATGAAGCATTTGAATGAGCTGATTTCCACAACAAATTCCATGTTACACACAACTTCAACTTCAGGGCATGAAGCCATGGACTTTAGTAGTGTTTCAGCTGTACAAAACTTTGTAATGACCATACTGTCAACTTTTGGAGTAAACTTTAGAAGCTCGAGCAGCTCCAGTCAAGATTTTGGTAAAATTGTAGATATTTTAAATGAATTTAGGCAAAGTGTTAGAATAACTGGTATTGAGAAAAGAGATAAAGAAATATTAAGTTTGTGTGATCATGTGAGGGATAGCTTGAAAAGACATGGAATTATTATTAGGGACCATGGGAAACAATCTTCTTGGAGTAACTGAAAGAATGTTGTTAGTGGATTTTTACTTTTTTACTGTGATATGGTTATTCCAGAGGAAATATATTTGTTTGTTATATTTTTTATCTATCCACCTTATCCTGTGATGAATAACAGTGTATTTTATTCTGGGTGATGTGGAATATGTGTGGATTTTTTTTTGACTAAGAAAGCATAAAACATTGCACTGAATGGACTTACTTAAATTAAAACACATACCTATGTTCTCAGTTTTTATTCAAACTATTTTCACAGAGGTATCTTAAAAAATAACTGGTATATCAACAAATGCCAGACTGTACAATTGAAATGATCATAGACTCAGGTATTCAGCATACAGTACATTAAAACTCTATTTTTCATATTTACATAGGCGATTCTGCAAAATTGTATAAAGCGTTAACATTACCTAACTATAAATTCTCATAAATTCTATTTACAAAAGGATATATGGTTCTACTTTCTTTTGAGGATATGTAATAGATATACGATTTTTACATCAGTCGTTAAATTTAGAAGAGCTATGTTAAGCAACATTACAATAAATGGTATCACCAAAGTTACCGATTATTTGGAAGAGAGGATACACTTTTTTTACAAAATCTAGAGGAGCTATTCGAATAGTATCCAGTGTACAGTGTGAAAAATAAGAAATCAATCGTAGTGAGGAAAACCTGTTTCATTTACCCTCTCTGGATTGGTTTTCATGCTTCTAGAAAGAGTATCTGTGACCTCTTACTGCATTTCATCTTAGTGAGAGCTACATTGTGTGGAAGGTTTCACATATATCTAATAGTATTACTAATATGTATGCAACATTTCAGCCATTGGGAAATCTGTGCATACTTGAATGTTTCAGAATTTTCATCCCTACGGAATATCAATACTTTGACGCCAAAAAGTATTATAAGTGCAAAACTTGCCATTCAAATTTCAAATGTAAAAGGGGGGTCTCGGACCAATGAAATATTTGCTTTGAAATACCTTGGAACGTATGTACTTTACATTTTCATCAATATACTCGTATTCCTTTTTATTTTAGCACTTGATTGCTATTTAAAAGTCCAAGGTTAGTGGTTTTGGCATTTTTGTAAAAAATCCACCCAATCTCTAGTAATAACACTGTCTGCTTCCAATATATAATAAAACACACTGAGATACAAAGCATAATTTATAAAAATGAAAGTGTTACCCTATTGTGCTCACATTAAAGATCAAAGCTGAATTGTCTTTATATTATATTGTGTATCAATTTGGTTAGTGTTTCGTATTTATTGTGAGCTCAGTGCTGTAACACTTTCGTTTTTATATATTTTTTGTCGCTGCGTGTTTAGTTTATAGATTTGAAGTATTGCGACCATGCGTTCATATAAAAATAGTACGTTAAAAATTCGAAAATGGGTGAATTTTGAGCATGTAAACCTTGGGACCGCCATCCCTGCACGCAAAGCTGTGTTATAATGTGACCCTTCTTCTGGAATGGAAGTTAGGGTTTCGTCAAATGTTATGAAAACAACCTTTTTCTCTAACGTTGGCAGTTTGACATGAAATACCTGTATATTTCTTCGTCTGGAAATACGGAATATGAATGAGTTCTCTATTGATGAACCAATTTTAAATATGTATATATGTTCCAACACTCGAGCGAAAAACGAAGATTAACTGCATCATCCTGGAAAAATGGACACATACAATCAAATTCAGCTTTGAAAAATACAAATTTCTCTATTATCTAGCACAACACATTATACAACATATCCCTCGATCTTTCAAACCACACAGATTGTCAGGCATCATATCTTTTGTTCATTTCTCTTTATATCTATACTTTATATAAATAGCGTATTCAACTAGTTCAGTCTGAGAATGTGTATTCTTTGTTGACGTGCTTTAAGTAGAGGCAGATCTGCTTGAAGGTGGGCCTCTCATTGTCGTCTCGCCTCCAGCAGGAACACATCAGTTCGTAGATGTCTGGCGAGCAGAGTGGGGGCTTGTTCAGGGTCACCTGGAATGGAAAAAAATATTCGTTCAACATATGTTAGTTTATGCATTGTGGGAGGTAAATATACCTCACCGCCCTGGGATATAAAGTTGCTCGTGGGCACATAAGAGGAACTTTACGCCGAAAAACCTATTCATAAAGTGTCTTCTTATACCCGTGGATCCACCGCACATTGCTCACTGGTTATTTAAGCTTAGTGTCGATTGAAAAGTAATAGCTCAGTAGAATTACGTTTCAGTTGTAAGTACTATTATACAATGACAAATTTGGTAAAACTTATGTTTGTCATTTCCTAGATTCAGGCCATCTACATATGATATACAAATTCTGTACTTTCCGTGAATAGTGTTCTGTGATCAAATAAACCGGAGAGCATGACTATAGCGCCACCAAGAACTTTCGGCTTTCTTTTGCTTCTATCTCTTTCAAATATAGGTACGTATTGCACGCTTCTCGCGCTTCTTTTTACACATTACAACGTCAGTGGAATTTGGACTTCTCTGTATAAAGTTACATTTAAACCAACTAGAGAACAAAAGAAAATTTGCTGGAGAGGCTGCAGTTATGCTCTCAGTAAATAAAACAATAAATAATCTTACCTGTAATTCTCCCCCATAATACATGTGTTCGGCGTTCTGGATGACTTTTTCATTGGATAAGTTACTAAATGGTCGTTCACAGCAGAAGTTCAGTATCTCCCAGAAAGTTACTGCGAATGCCCATACTGTACTACTACATGTGTATCTATCCTGAAAGACATAATTAAAATTAACAAGGAGTTTCTGCATATCACACAAGAAAAAAGTGTATTCAAATTCTGTCTACTACGGAACAGTTTCGGAAGTCATGTGTCGTTACGGTAATCCTTGCTTCCCCTACAAATTAGAAAGTACAAGTTTAATTCTGATGAAACTTGGCACTTGGCGAAGGGTGAAGCAGCTTTGTGGTTTTAGAAAATTGTGCTGCCAAGCTAGAGCCCCCTGCATTAATACAAGGTTCAAAATAATCTTGCAGGCGCTTAGTGCCTTCATCGTAGCTTGGCTGTCGGAGAAGATTGTTATTTTTCTCCTAGGTCCTTCCCTCTCCAAAATGCAGGCTACGCAAGACAGAATCGCATAGAGAATAGTGGTGTATCCGCCGAGACGCAGTGATAGCCTATTTGTATACCCTATTCGTAGTCTATTCACGCCCCGGCACAACAAAGATGCAGCGCGACAAAGCGGCAGTTGCCTAAGCGTTGCAATAGCTATTGGTGATTCGGCCATAAAAGACCGAACTCAGGCTTGGGGTATCGCCGGCACGCCCGACGCCGGCAGTTGCTGTTCAGTGATGTCTCCTCCCCGAAAACGTATCAAGAAGGGACATTTGAATATTCAGGCAAAAGAAATTGTCCTTAACGTTTATAAAACCGAAATTTTAGAGCATCCTGAAATGGAAATTCATGATATTGAAAGATGTGTGGCTAACAAAACAGGCCTATGTCCTAAGACAATTTTCAACATTGTTAAAGAATAAAAAAAATTGTCTCCACTACACTAGAGGCTGCATTACACAAAGCTGTTGGATACAGTTGACAACTTTGATCGGAATGCCATCAGACGTGAAGTCCATCAATTTTTTGAAAGGCAGGAACTTCCAACCATAGACAGAGTATTACAGGAGGTTAATAGTGATGGAGACTCGCCTACTTTCGAAAAGATCAGATTCTATACTTCACTCAAAGAACTTCATTTTGAAATTATTTAAAACCAATTAAGAAATACCGCGACCAGCGCAGGAAGATTTATTACTTGGATGAAACCTGGATAAATGCACGACATAGAAAACCTAAACTATGGGCTGACTCTACAATTAAGTCAGCAAGACAAACCTTCTTAGATGGACTAACCACTGGCCTAAATAATCCGTCAGGTACGTGTATCTAACCAATACGGGTATCTAACCAATTCGTCATTTGTGTTGTAAAAATTGTGTCAAATAGTCTGAATCTATGAGCCCACGTTGGAAACTTAGCTACAATAAACTTAGCTATATCGGGTAGATTTGTAACCAACAATTGTTAGATACTCTGCTTGTATTATTACACTGATGAACAAAATTAAAATAATTTTTTGTGACATGGACAAAACAAGATGTAGAAGATTCCATCCTTTCAATCATGACGCTAAAAGTTCCGACTGGGATTTTGACAGATTTAATTCTCGAACTAAGTCATTAAGTTCGCCCTGTGTTATCAAATGCCGTTGAACATCCTGGCAGGTCAAACGAAGGATCGGAAATTTTTACGCTTTCTGTACCATCACTTTCAGAATCGGTGGATTCGACTTTTTCATCCAAAGACCAAGATTCTGGTGGAACTGCGACAGAAAGTTCATCACTATGCTTAACGGCCCGCAAAGCTGATGGTAAATTAAAATACTTAACAGTATGTTTCGATTTTGGTCCAATACCTTTAATATTTGTGAGCCAAAAACAGCAATCAGTAGTATGGTCTCTCGGTTCTCTCCATACCATTGGTACCGCAAAGGGCATTTTACGATTGTCGCTTCTTAACCAACCTGTTAACAACGTTACCCAAGTCATACAACTTATACGAGTATCCGGAGCCCATAGTTTATCTTGGTCGCCAACTTTAATTCCGAACTAAAGTTCGTACACACGAGGGGAGTAAATAAGCTCCAAATATAATAAACAGGAATACACAGGTCTTAACATTCTATATGTGCGTCATCGCATAAACGCCGAGAAATCCAGCAATATGAGATGTATTGTAATTCATAAAAGTAGATGTTACCGAATATCTGTGGGTGATAGAAACATTCTGTTTTTAGGGTCTCAATATACCTGTACATAAGATACACTCAAAATTTGTCATGTCACAAATTCTATGTTTATCAGTGTTATTAGTTTTCTTGAATACTATATGAAATAATTATTTTCTGGAAAAGGAAAACGATTTGTTATCTGTCACTTTGGCAGTGAAGACGGCTTTGTGCCCACTTCCATATGGGCATTTGAGTCAAAGAAAATGACCGACTATCATGAAGAAATGGACGGAAGTTCGATTGAATGATGGTTGAAGAAACGCTCCCAAAGCTTAACGACAATGCCATCATTGTACTCGACAATACTGTATACCACACTAGAAAACCAGAAAAATCCCCAGAATGCCCACAAGAAAGGCAGAAATTCAACAATGGTTCCTATCAAAAGACATTAGTTTCAATGAAAATTTGGTCGAAGCAGAACTTATCCATCTAGTCAGGCAGCACAAATATAATTATAATCTCAATGTTATTGACTGCGAATTAAATCCAATTGAAATGATTTGGGTAAATATAAAAAACTATGTGGCTTCAAAAAATAGAACATTCAAATTTTCTGACGTGAAAAATTTGTTTTATGAAGCTGTCAACAGAGTGAGGCAAACCATTGGAAATATTGCATCCGTCACGTTCAAGAGACAATCGCAACAAAGATGTGGGATCTGGACAATATGATCGATATTTAAATTGAAGCTGTAATAATTAATATTAACCATTCGGACGATGATTCAAGTACTTCCAGCGCATAAAGAATTGTGAAAAGTATGTGCACTTTTTTCTATAAAGATAATCATTATTCCAAGACCATTTAGGAAAATACGGACCTGTACAGTCTCACTTTTGTGCATGTTGTATATTGTCTCGGCGTAAATGGACTAGGGATGCCAGATCCCTTTAAAACGTTTAAATTTGTCTTATGTTCTCACAGGATATATCCTCCCATATTTAATTAGATCTTCTGTACATGAATTTGAGAAGAAGAGCGGTAATTGAGTGAAAATAAAATCGTTTTTTCATCTATAAGTCAGAAAGAAAGCTACTTACTAGGAGTATGCTTTCCCAAGGAAGCCACCTTATCGGTGCTGGAGGTCGTCCACCGATTTCTGCATAATCTTTCCTATACTGAGGCTTGCACATGGCTATGTCGGTTATTTTCACAATGTAACCTCGACCAACTAAACAGTTTCTGTAACATAAAAATAAAATTTTCATCTATTCATTTATTAGATAAAATAATGCATACACCTTTGTTATTTAGGCTCAAATGTAAGAAACATCGGGTTTCCTCTGCATTAAATACGATGCACATTATTTTCTGAACGTTTCTCGAAAAAGTTGAGGTTACACCGTTTACACGACAGCAAAAGTTATTTATCAATTGACAATTAATTGAAGATTTTTCATATATTGTTTTATGTGCTTCAGTTATCATGTATTATATTTTTAGTTATTTGCTGAAAAAATTGACTGTTAAAACTGCAAAACTGTAACCATATGGTAAAGTAGACAACAGCCTGGCAGATCCAACTTTGTGGGTACTTTACAACCTTAGAATATAAAATCACCACTCTTAAAAATGGTGAACTGACAGGCTGTGAGAGTTAAGCGTTTTTGTACATTTAGTCGCTTATAACTCGACAACCAATCATTAAAAAATAATACACGGTGTAAACGTTATGGTAGTCATTGTTGCAATGGGTAACAGGGGTGGTCAAAACAAGCCAAAAAGTTCATATGAGCCATGGTCCAAAAGTCAATAGATTTTTGTCTAAATGGCTTTATAGTTTACAACTTTAAGTGCTTTATATCGACCACAATCTTACTAATTTTTATAATCTGATCTAAAACGTTTTTAAATTAAAAAATTAAATAAATGGCATTAGGTTTTTCTGAGTTAAGCCAAAATTTGTAGTCAGTAAGTAAGTTTCATTGAATTAAATATTTAAAACACACATGACAACAGCGCGTCGGTCTTTCATCATTCTTATCGAACCGGCAATCGATCGCAAACGGCAACAGTAGTTAGTATGTTGTTTTGTTTTTGTTCACGTACGTCGTCGTGTTTATTTACAATGTTCTCGAATCAACAGTTCGCCGACATGTTGTTAGTTTACGGTGAAGCTCGTCAGAATTCAAATCTTGCAGCTCAAATTTATTGCGACAGATTTCGCCAACGGGTACACGCAGACAGAAGGACATTTGTGCAAGTGTACCAAAGACTTCGAGATACAGGAAGTGTTCAGCCCACTAATATTCGCACTTGTGAAAGACAGGTTACTGTAGAGCAGGAGGAACATTCTTTAAATATCGTGGAAATCAGTACTACCGCACGATGGGGCACCACCATACATTTTTAGAGGCGCCATTCAGTATTTGAATGAACATTATCCAAATCGCTGGATCGGTCGAGATGCTCCTGATGCTCGAGAATGGCCAGCAAGATCTCCTGACCTCAATTCGATGGATTTCTGGTATCGGGGAGAACTTAAAATATGGTTTATGGGGCTGATCCAATAACAACTGAAGCACAACTTCGCGAAAAAAATTTAATGCGGCTGAAATAATAAATGGACAACTTCGAGGACCTAGGGTAAGAAGAAACTGAGTTCGTCGTATTGAAGTTTGTGTGGAAAGTGGAGGACGACATTTTGAACACCGTCTTTAGATACAAAAAAAGTGCAGTGTGGGTTTTAAAATGAAAAACAATGTATGTATCAAAATTGTGTTCCCTATTTATAAGTAGTATTTTAATACGTTCAATAAGCTTTGACACACCAGGTGAAGCGCTGAGACAGTTAGTGGTAAGTCCGTTTTTTTAAATTCTTTGCATTTTACGAGTACATTATGAAATAATGAAATAATACCTAAAGCCAAAAATAGCAAACTCCATCTTTGTTTACATTGCGTTCCGTCGTAATTTGCGTCTGGCATTGCGGCGTTGTCCGATTTTATTTTACTTTAAAGTCGCTTTTCTCTAAAAAAATGCCGTTTTGACCCCCATGTTATATGAAACTTTTTGCTTCTATCAACCCATTTAAATGATGACTATCATAACGTTTACACCCTGTATATCAGTCTTCTTCTCTTGGTAGGGTCTATCCCAGTATGTAACAAAGCAACATTCCATTGCTGAATCTTGTCAGTTTTAAACTGAGTGTCCCATATTTTATCGCACATTTAGATATACCCTACCGAAAGATGAAGATTGATATAACACGATAACGTTTTGATGTTTAGTTGTGAAGTTATAAGCGATTCACTGTGCAAAAACGTTCAACATTGAGAACTTGCCACGCCGTTATTTTGTATTCTAGTGTTAGGAAGTACTCATAAGGCGCTTCAAAATGAGGTATCACCCCCCATTCCATTTAAAAAATGGCACCCAGCCGCCATCTTGAAATGTTCGACTGTCACTTTTACCCCAAAATATAGCATCCATGCACCAATTCCATTACTCCAAATTTCATCTTGCTCACTTGAACCATTCAAAAAATAAGTATCGGGAAGGGTAGTTTCGAAAATCAGGTTTTTGAGAAAAATCGTTTTTTGTGACAATTGACCTTGATTAGCTTTTGACGCCGACACGCAATTTATGAACACTTTTCGAGGTAAGTAATGGGATATTAAGACACAGTCTATATTTTCCATTTTATCATTTTTCATTTTGACGTACGACTTTTTTGTTTTACCAGATGATCACCCTCAGGAACACAGGTATAACTTGAAAAGATGAACGTGAATTGATAATTCGGTTAGATTATCTTGTTTATGTTAACTTTGAAGACAAAGACGTTTCGGATCGCTTAAAATACGAGGTCTTTAAATTAAGTGATGAGACAGGCAACGTAGCGTTCGATCTGACAACGCTGGAGGTGCCGGGATTGGGGGTGGGAGGCAGGGAACATGTGATCCGGTTTTTCGGTCGTTTAAGCCATTTTCAGAAGGTAGAGAGACCATTGAAGATGAATCACGAACCAGAAGGACTTCATCTTCAAGAACCCACGAGAATATCGGTAGAATCCGGGATCTGGTGCGTTCAGATCGTCGATTGACAGTTAGTATAATCGGGGAAGGGTTACGTTTGACTCTCACAACCGTTCATCAGATCAAGTGGGTTTTGCATCACGATAATGCTCCTTGTCACGTAGCAATGTCAATAAACGAGTTTTTAACGAGTAAAAACATTCCTGTGGCTTCTCAGCCTCATTATTCTCCTGACTTGAGTCCTTGCGACTTTTACTCTTCCGGTAGAAAAATCACTCAACGGAACTTATTTTGGAACAGTCGAAAACATTCAAACAGCTGTAACTGCTGAACAATATAAAAATGTAATTATACTTGAGTAGAAATATTAAAAAAAATCAGTCCCATCACGTAATTTCCAGACCTCGTAGCTACGTCGTTGTCCCTACCCGATTTTAATTTACTGCAGCCGAAACACGAATGCGGCGCTGATTTTCGGATCTACCACAGGAATTAAGACACGACCCGGTTTACGAAAGCCCCGTTGTGGTGTTCGGTGTTGAAAAATCAATTACCTGGCTGCGAGGTCTTTATGGACGACGTGTTTCGATTCCAAGTACTTCATTCCAGATGCTATCTGAGTCGCCATAAAAATCAAGGTGCCAGTGCTGAAACAAGGAAATTGTTTATTTGTTGGTTGTACTTTTAGTCGGTTATTAAAGCTATGGTTTACCAATGAAAGGAGCAGTAAAAAGTTGGCAAATACAAGCACGTCCGCTATTATACACGTAACTTTCTACACACACGCATGTTAGGGTCATATATTCGATGAAACCCTCAAAGGGTCTAGGATATATCTACTACATTTCAGAATCGTGTACAATTTCTTCATACAAAAATGTCATACGAGCCAACTCGACCATCGACGTCTCCCCCAATGCCAGAGCGACTTCGGTGCAAAGGGTACCAAACACTGTGAAGTAACTTTCAGACATAAGACCGCAAGTGTATAGCGGAGCTTGCTCGGATTCTTTCATGTATCTTTGAGATATCTTACGAATCTGGCAACTTCCCAAAAACTGTAAATTAGCTCATGTCCAGCCCATATCTAAAAAAGGACCTAAGACTGACCCTAAAAAATGCAGACCTATAGCTTTGCTTTCTGTTATAAGTAAGGTGATTGGAAGGTGTTTCTGGAGTATCTGTAAGGTGATGGAAAGGTGTTTCTGGAGTATCTAAGTCTTGATCTGGCACGAACACATCCCTTCAATTGCAGCAACTGCCGGGACACAGCTAAGCTATTTATTTAGGGCTAAGAAGTACATTTCTCCACATCATATCCTCAGTCTATACAAGGCCCAGATAGCACCTGACTGACTGATCGATGACTCTTCTCTAAAGGACCACCTCGGAACCCTTTCGCACCGATAGGTCGTCGGCGAGCGGGTTCTCTTCTACCGCTATGTCAACGGCCTTTGCTCCTCAGCGCTCTCCTCCATGGCATCGGCCTCAAATCCTAACCGTGTCGAACTTCGTACATCCAACACTGGCAGGCTCTATCGATTCTCGGGCCCTGTGGAACAATATGCCTGAGGAGGCTTTTCCCAGTTCTAATAACCTCAGAATAAACAAGCTGCTTCAGTATAAAAAAACTTTCTATACAGTCTTCAACAACGTCACTTGAAAGTGTTTTTCTTGATTAATTGTCATACGACACCTTACATGGAGATTCAAAAAGTAAAGACAATATTTTTACATAGATATGATTTTTTTACCGAATTCGGAATTATAATTTTAACACCCACGTTTAAGGAGTTCTCTGTGTTATTTTCGGATGTTGGAACGTTTTAAATTCATCCAGTGATCGACTTGCGCCAACATATAAAAGGATATATAGAGATAAAATATGGAGTACATACCTTATTGGTTGATCTCCATTCACTACCGCTCCATTTCTATTGACTAGGAACTGCAGATACTGAGCTAGATCACCAACATCCCCGTACTCAAGTACTGTCCAAGGTGGTTGTTCTGCTGTGCAGATCCCTAAGACTTGACAGATATTTGGATCGCACAAGCCCGCCAAGAAGCGAACCTAAAACAGCAATATTATTAAATTTCAATACATTCTTCAAGATCCCGTATCCATACTACTATAGCCAAGAACCAAAATGGAAGTTAGTGACGTAACTGTCACCTTGCGCGCAGGCAAACCGCCACGATTTTTCGCTCGAAAGAATGCTCCAGTATTTAAATATGGTGTGATCTGCGGACACGCACACAAAGACATCCTGCGTTAACAGTGGCGTACGTCGCATTATGCTAATCTCTTTCATTTTGGTACTTGATTCTAACGAAGATTAAGAATGTTTTGGTTGAGGATATCATCAGTGGCAAGGCCTAAAGCGTTAAAGTTTAACGGTTAAACAATGGAAGTAAGATCGTAAACGTTTTTGGAGTTTCATGCATACAAAAAATCGGACTACTAGGATTCCTGGTAAAATGAAGTTGAATGATGTCTCACTCAGTACTGTATCTACAGATTTTAATAGTATTTTTGTTGATCCATCTACTGGTAATGATTTTATTGTAGGCGGGAATTCTATTAGTCAAGTTAACATATTTTTCAATGACATTCATGAAAATAAGATTATTGCTGCATCCAAAGCTTAAGAATAAAGCAACGGCCGGCCCAGACAGCATCTCCTCGTTCATAGTCAAATATTATATTCTTGTCTTTGTCAGATCATTATTAAAAATATTCAATCTCCCTATAGCAACCAATATCTACATTTACTGATATTCGGAAACTTTCTAGAGCGAGAACTATTTCCAAATCAGGGGATAATACTGATACTGAGAACTAGAGCGGTAGTAATATTGTCTTTTTCTCCAAATTGCTGGATATCATATTGCGTAGTAGAATTTACTTCGGAGTTCCTAGATCTCTGTCCCCTTTCCATCAAAGGTTTCTCATTAAGAGATCCACATTAACGAATTTAACAATCTTTACTCAGTTCGCTGTTGAATGTGTAAACTAGATGTTCGATAGGGAGGACCTTGGCATACTTTCAAATAAGCTTTCTCATTACGGATTCCATTTATCAGCTTTAGCACTCAGTGGCAATGGCTTCAAGTCGTACCAGCATGTAACTAAATCAGGAGTGCCCCAGGGTTCAAACCTTGGTCCTTTATTGTCTGCCTTATTTATTCGTGATATTGCGAAATATTTAAGATTCAATAAACTCTTCTTTGCGGATCATTTAAAAGATAAGCTTAGCTTGTTGAGGTGTAGTTTTTGACTATAAACTTAATTTTTCACCCCATACAGTTCAAAAGGTGTGAAGCTTCACGGGCGTACGGTTTTATTGTGAGAAATTGCAGAAGCTTCAGCTACCCAGAGTCGCTGTTTTGTAATCTGCATATAAAGGGTGATTTTTTTAAGAGGTATAGGATTTGATTTTCAAAAAAAAAACAAAATAAATTTGAAAAAACGATTAAATCTTTATTTGAGTCGATAGAAAGGTCGATATAATTGAATGTTTAAAGATTATTTCATGTAAATGTTGGCCGCGGCTCCACTTTAGATGGCCCATGCGCAAGGTCCAATTTTGGCACACTCTCTCCAACATATCGGCCGGTATCTCACGAATAAATGCTTCAATATTGGCTTCCAGTGCGTCAATCGTTGCTGCTGGTTTATCCCTGTAGACATTAGCCTTACTATGGCCCCACAAGAAATAGTCCAACGGCGTTAAATCACACGATCTAGGCGGCCAGTTGACGGGCCCCAAACGTGAGATAAACTGTTCACCGAACTCGCCTCTCAATAGGGCCATTGTTTCGTGTGCGGTGTGGCATGTGGCACCGTCTTGTTGAAACCACATGTCAGCCAAGTACAGCTCTTCCATTTTGGGCAAAAAAAAGTTTGTTATCATCGCACGGTAGCGCTCGCCATTCACAGTTACGTTCCGGCCATTGTCGTCTTTGAAGAAGTACGGCCCGATGATGCCACCGGCCCATAATCCACACCGGGATGCATTGGTAGCTCTTGCAATGCTTCTGGCTGGTCTTCACTCCAGATGCGGCAATTTTGCTTGTTAACGTACCCATTCAACCAGAAATGAGCTTCGTCGCTGAACACAATTTTTCGATAAAAATGTGGATCTTCCGCCAACTTTGCCAGCGCCCATTCACCAAATTGGAAACATTGTGGGAGGTCGTGTGGCTTCAATTCTTGCACCAGCTATATCTTATAAGGTTTTACACCCAAATCCTGTCGCAAAATTTTCCACGTAGTGGAGTAACAGAGGCCCAATTGCTGCAAACGGCGGCGAATCGACATTTCACGGTCATCACTAACACTGGCGGATACAGCCGCAATATTTTCTTCAGTCCTCACTCTACGCCTGCGTGTTGGTGGTTTAATGTCCAATAATGTAAACTGGGTTCGAAATTTAGTCACAAGCTTCCGAATAGCTCCCTCAGTAGGCCGACCAAATTGATAGTAAAATTCAATAATTTGCAAGCGTTGTTCGTTCGTAAGTCGATTCATGGTTAAATTATAGACCAAACTGAACAAGTTTGACAATGACACAAGACACGATTCACGCGTCATCTGTCAAAAACAGTGTTACCAAAAAGATACTAACACAAAAACACCCATTACTAGATCGTAACTAGCACATCCATCTTTAATTTGGAACATGATTTACAACTGCTACATTGATTCTCTTGAGCATGACCAGAGAAAGTTTCTCAAATTTTTATCTTTCAAGACTGACGGTGTGCAGGGTATATCGAAAAGTTTAGAGCTGTGAAGTAAGTGTGCGTCAATTATTCTCTGCTGCACAGTCAAGTTGATGCTAATGACCCAAACTCCAATGTCCCATCTATTCGAATTCGTACCGTTAAAACCTTTTATTGTGACAGGGCTCGCACAATTTTATTTTTTAAAGCACTCATATACGTAATGTGAGAAAGTTTTAATGTCATATCAAATTATTGTGATATACATGCTAACAGTTAGAGCAGCATTCTGGGAATAGCTAGGAATTAAACAATTCATGATATTTTCCTCACTAGAGTGAAATATGTTTATTACTTCTTTTTCTTGTTCGTTTTTCCTTTAGATAGAATCACCCGCTTTTTGTATGTTTTCTAATTTTGTTAGTTCGATTTAACTTTTCTTTCTTTCCTTTACTGTTGGGTAATAAACGCTATTTATTATTTATTTATTTAAGTATGAAGCAGTATTCTTGTAGAATCCATGATAAAAGAACAGACTTATGTACCTCTCGCAATGCTTCTGTAGCAGATATGGCGACATCGTGTTGTTTTGGAGCAGTTGTCGAAGATGTGCGTACTGCTACAAGTCGTGGTGTACCGGGAAGTATATCTTCTAGGCCTTCTGTTTCGTATAGGGTTACCTAGCAAGAGATATGAACCTGTATAAGTCCTTCAAAGCTCCACCAAGATCAAATTACTTTTCTTAAATCTTTAGGCTTTGCTAGCTTGAAAGAGAAATGAACATAATACATTTTTTAAATCAATCCCGAATCCTGTTATTTATATTCTCTAACCCTGATTGAAGTACAGGGTGCGGCAGAGAGGACGGACGTTTTTGGGATAGGTAGTACTCCCCGCCTCCGCCTACGAGAGAGGTGGGGAGGGTGCCGTTTGACTCGTGAGATCCTAGCATTATTTTACCAGTTGTCGTTATGGAGCCTTGGACGGTGGAGCACCGCGTTTTCGCCTATGATTGTTTCGTCCGAAATAATGAGTCAGTCATCGTCGTACAGCGTGAGTTTCCTCGCCACTTCAACATTCATCGGAATAGAGCTGTTCCCTCTAGAAACACCATCCTTCGTTGGGTTGAATCACTTCGCAGGCGTGGAGAATTGATCAACAGAAGACCAAGAGGAGCGCCGCGAACAGTTCGAACTTCTGAAAATGTTGAACGCGTTCGACAGGTCTTTCTTCGCAGTTCGACTCGATCTGCCCGGAAACATGCTGCTGCACTTCGCCTTAGTGATCGTTCGCTAAGGCGAATTTTGCATATGAATCTCCGCTTTCACCCCTACAAATTGGCCATTGTGCAACAGTTACAGCCCAGAGATTATGCACAACGAATGAACTTCGCACGTGAGATGGAAGCACTGATCGATCAAAATGAGAACCTCATTTTGTTTATGAGTGACGAAGCCCACTTTTACTTAAACAGCATGCTAAACCAGCAGAATTGTCGTTATTGGGCTAATGAAAATCCGCAACAGTTACACGAAAGACCGCTGCACAGCCCAAGAGTAATGGTTTGGTGCGCTGTATCGCAAACTTGCATCATTGGCCCTGACTTCTTCGAAGACGGCAATGGTCGTGATGTTACCGTGAACTCAGAGCACTACGTCGACATTATCACCAACTTCTTTCTCCCTGAATTACGACGGCGACGTGTTCCAATCCGACGTGTGTGGTTCCAGCAGGATGGGGCGACCGTCCACACATCCCGACCATCCATGGACGTTATTCGCCCTCTCTTCCCTGGTCGCCTTACTTCCAGGTTTGGCGATGTTCATTGACCTCCTCGGTCCCCAGATTTATCCATATGCGATTTTTTCTTATGGGGACACCTCAAGGCTAGAGTATACGCGAACAAGCCCCAAACTCTGGACGAATTGAAGGGCGAAATTCGCGTGGAAGTCGCCCAAGTTGAGAGACCGATGTTGGAGAGAGTCTACGCGAACTTCCAAGAATGCCTCCAGCACTGTGAACCTGATTCCATCAATAAATTTGTTTTTGAGTAAAAAATAACTATTTTATGATTTTTTTAAAACCGTCCATTCTCTCTGCCGCACCCTGTATTATCAGATAATGGAGAATACGCAAATCGTCTCTGACGTTATAGTTTTCAAGATGCATTATTGTAATAACGAACATGTAGTAGAATGATAATTGTAGTTTTAGTTGTCATTTACTTACGTCGCCCGCATGGCATGTTCCCAATTTTTCAACAGGCCTTAGTGAGTACATTGGTATTGGAACCAGTTCCACTTCTTTACAATTATACGAGCTGTTCATGCTGGGTGCGATGTTCCAGCACACTGCAGGCGGAGGCACCTAGACATTCAGGAAATATAAGTCAAAAATTAGAACCCCAGGGTTAAAACTGGTGGGTGTAGAATTAAACTTATAGCACCACTCTTTTTGGTCGAGCGTTAAAAAATGGATTGAAGGCAAACATACTAGTCAAGTATTGGCGAAAGCACACCCACCATAATTTAACATGGCGAATATAAAGTATCAATAGGCACATCCACCATATTTTAACACGGTAAATCTAAATTACCAATAGACACATCCACCAAATTTTAACATGGTAATAGTAAATAATAAACATTCACATCCACCATATTTCAATATAAAACGACATTCGGCTTTCAAATTTTGAATATTTCGGATTTTAAGAGTGGCCACACAACCTGGAAGTCAAGTAGATGTCAGGGAAAATAAAAATGGTTAGAAAGATGAGCAATTGCCAAAAAAAAAATCAATTCAATTGAGCTGTTTCTGGCACTCGGTTCAAGTTTTGAGTTTGGTAATGTAACTTCTGAAATTATCTTGTGGTTTTTATGTTCATAGCAGTCCATTGCCTGGTCGAATCAAATCACACATACAGGGTGTTCAAATCCAGCCTCATCATTGGGATCTCGGAAACTGTAAGAAACACGAAGTCGCTTAAATGGGGCAAAGTTGTATATTTAGGTAATTAACAAATCGCCGCTTAGTTTCGAAATTCAAAGTACTTCCGGAGAGAGACGGAAAAAATAGAATTTTCCCAAAATAGTTTTATTTTTTCCTGACATTATTTGTAGTGGGATTTCCAAATAAATTGCACATTAACACCTACAAGATGGTATAATTAGAATCTCAATATGACGTTTCGTCTCTTGTCTTGCACAGACGAATAGAGTGTTTAATTTTGATTCCAAAAATGTATAGGTACGTCATATATTGACATTGCCAAACCTTAGTTATTTCAAAAAAGCGGAATATCCTAGGTTGTCCTTGAAATTATCAAAGAGTCGTTTGCTTCCGGGATCCCAATGCTGAGGACCGAATTTGAAATATCCTGTATGTTTAAATTCTTGTTTATTGTACGATGTGTCCACAATCACGGAGGCCTTTTCAAGTACAGTGAAAATAATGTCAGTATACTTTATTTTACTTGTTCTTGCTGTGACGGTTTTGCCACAGTATTTCAAATCAAAATCAAATTAAATGCTTATATGGAAAATGGATCGAATCTGACCTGAAAAGTCACTCTGTTAATATGGGCATCAAACAAGTGAAGCGAAGCACCATTTGAGGTAAGAAATTGGGACCTCTAGGCCTCCTATCGTTTTGAGCGATACACTGATATCAAATTCGTGATGTACGTACAAGATTTACCAAAGAAACGGGTTCTGGTTGAGATTGCAGATACGTACGAATTTTCCTTTTGCGAATATGATAAAAAAATGGTAAAGTGTGATGAAGCTCTATTGGAGTATAAACGTTGGACATTTGAGGCCTGACGCGAATATTAGCGAAAAACTAACATCGGATCCGTAATGTACGTACCCGGTTTACTGGGAGGAATTTGGTCGAGACTGTAGATATGCAAGGGTTTTTGCAGATTTTGTCTTGTAGTATGTCTTTTAATCTTCTTAAGACAAGATTTCTATTTTCTTCAAACAGTGTCAACTCGGGATGCTGATTTCGAATATGACCATCAAAGGATTCTAAAGTTCACAGAGCGCAATTTTCAGTTGGCAAATGTGACTTTTAGTACCTCCCCCCGGTTTCAAGTAAAAACGGACATCAAATTTGTAATCTACGTATTCGAGTTACCCAAGGAACGGGTTTTGGTCTGAATTGGAGACACGTGCGAATTTTTGAAAACCTTTTATTATAGTTGCCTCTAAACTTTAAAATTTATCAAGTCCAAATTCTAGGTTGTTTCCTGTGCTTATGAGCGAAAGAAACCCTGCACACTGGGGTAATTTCAAAAAAATTAAATTCTGGAGATGCGTTATTTCGAGTGAAAATAGATTTTTTGGAGCCTTCTGTCTACCTCAGCGAAAAACTGAAATCACATTTGTGATTTATTTACTCAACAGATTTTGTTCGAAATCGCAGATGCGCAAGAATTTTTTAAAAATAGTTTCTCTCAAATTTCAAGATGCGCAAGAATATTTTAAGACTTAGGTTCCGTGAACATTTCCCAAACAAAGGCTCCATTTTCATTTCTCGTTTTGACAAGCGATAAATGGGACTTAAATTTTGTGTACGGAGATGGCTAATCGAAAGTGCGTGAGACAGCAGCTCAGCCGTGTGAAGTCGCGTGAAATTTAGGCTTCTCATCTGTGTACGATTTTTTGGATGAACGCAGCCGTAACAGCGGACATATTTAGCAAACATCCGGTTAACACCAGCTGTTAACTATCTTTCAGGATCGAATCCTAACCACGCCAGTGTTTCTTTATTCTTTCATGCTGCTTGATGCCCCATCTGGCGCCGATCAAATGGAACAAACCGAATTGGTGAGCTGACTTCAATCGATTTCTAGTCACATCACGCCGTCTCGTGGACATTCACCACGGTACCACCATGCGAGGACAGCGGCACAAGTTATTCTTAACTTGTATTTCTCATGTTTGTATATCTGCATACTGAAGCAGTACTTTGGCCGTTGATCATGATACTTCTGTAGAACCATGAGCAAGATTTTCATCAATAAAGCAAACGCGACTTTCTAAACTCATCCAGTAGGTATAATAAATGACTACTCACCCGATGCTTTTCCCTAGGCGCGGTGTGGTATCGCTTCTTGTCCGTCGGCTCGGTGGTCACTTTCGGAAAATAATTGCCCAGATTGATCACCTGGGACTTGGAGCTGAGTGAAGGCGTGCTTTGCAGACTCCTGCGGTGGAATATTAGTATTAATGGTGGCGGATACTGTCTCCGGAGGAAGCTAAATATACTGCGGATGGCAATTGCGTACACCCGGGTGACTGCGGACGCCGCTCAGGTCAACAGCGGCGCACAGTGTGGAAAAACAATCAGTCATAAAATAAACTAAGATTATTTTTTCCTGCTAACAGAAGAAATCAGCGTTATAGACCGCATTGATCCTCAGACAAGCAGCATTTCTCGCCCTATATAAATAATGTTAACCTAGGTTAATAATAACGTGATTTAAAATTGTATGTTGTCAGTTTTATTAAATGAACTCGATATTTCGAAATACTTAGTTTGCATCTAGCCGCCTATGCATTCTGGTATAGGTTTGGATTCATATTTATGATTAAATGAAAAATGTAAAGTTTTTTTTTGACCAAACCAATGAACATAAGCATGATACACTATATTTCAGGTGTTTCAAATTCGATCATCACGTTTGGGATCTCGGAAATGGTAAGAGATATGATGTCGCTTAAGGTAACTAACAAAATGCCGCTTAGGAAATTCTAAGTATTTCGGAGAGAGACGAAAAAGAAAACATAAAATCGTTTTAGTCTTTTCCTGACCTCATTTGTAGTGGCCTTAAGTAATTAATTGTACATTATCATTGCCACTTTTTCTCCTCTACAAGATGGCATAATCAGAATTTCATTATGACATTCCGTCTATCGTCCTCCAGTATCAACTTTATTTTTTCTTAAGGACATGTTGGATTTTTGCATAGATGAATAGAGTTTTTGATCCCTATTCAAAAACTGTATATTGTGTCGTACATTGAGATTGCCAACCCTTAGGCCCGTATCGTCAGTCGTTCCTACAATTGTAGCACGCTTTTATAGCCTACTTGATTGTCATACTCCTTTCTCTCCTTCAAACATTTCTAGATTGCACCTGTTCTGTGTCAGCATCAGCGCTCTCGTATTGTGAAGATATGTTGTCTTTTTATATTGTAGGAAATTTCAGGCTGATAAAACATGATATAACTTAAAAGCATGCAGAATTTGATGCAAATAGATATTTATGACATAACCTCAAAATAGAGCGCTGACACGGAAAAGTAGAAAATTATGACAATCAAGGAGGCCATAAAGGCGTCCTACACCTGTAGGAACGACTGACGATATGGGTCTTAGTTATTTCAAGAAAACACAATTTCTTAGGTAGGCCTTGAAATTCATAGATAGTCATTTGTTTCATATACCAGATTTATCATAAAATCATTTTTATTTTTTTTCTGACTTTAATTGAGATGCGATTTCGAAATAGATTGCATGTTGTCATTGCCACTTTTTCTCCTCTACAAATTGTCGTGTTCAAACTTTCAATTCGAGGTTTCTTCTTTTGATATCCACCGCCAACTTTGCTTTTCCATATGGATGCTATATTGGAATTTTGCACATTTAAATATTACTAAGAACAGGTATATTATTTTTATTGAATATGTGGGGTTCATCATGGCATACATAAATAAATATATAAATAAAATACATATTCATAACTAAATTCACAATCCAAAATTGTGTTCGATTGTGCAAAATTTCAATAGTTAGTCTATAACAAAAAAACCAAGTCAAGGATGGCGAGAAATGTTTAATTGAGCATTTCACCGCGCCGTCTTGTTGAGGAGAAAAAAATGGCAATGCTAATTGATATGAAATTTATTTCAAAATGCCATTTTAAATAAAACCTGGAAATGAACGATTTACAATAAATCCGGTATACGAATCAAATTACTCAAAGCCTACCAAGGAAATTTTATTTTTTGAAATAACCAAGGTTTTGTCATGATATACGAGCCCCTTCTCACTTCAGTTGGCCCACTTCAAGATTTGTACCAAAATATGCCTTTATAAACTAAATATGACGAAACTATTTACTTCTAAAACAATTTATTTTCTCATAACATTTTAGATACACTCTAGTCGTAAAAAATACATATTAGAAATCACTTAGACCTATAACTAATAGAACATCCGAACAAATAAACAATGTGCGAATAAACACGCGAAGTTAACAAAGCAACAATTGAAAGATTACCATTGGGTAACATCACCTTTTTTTTATTACGGCTGAAATTCTTTGGGACATAGTGTTAACCAAGTTTTGGCAAAAATTTGGTGTAAAATAATCCCATATTTCTTGAAGCTTTTGTCTCAGTTCGGTGATGGTACGAGCAGGATGTTGTCGTAGAACCTTTTTCATCTGGTGCCACAAAATTTCAATAGGTGACAGATCTGGACTGCTAGAAACCCATTTTAAAAGTGATACATTATTTTCTTCCATCCATTTTATAGCCTTTTTTGAGGTTTGGCACGCTGCACCATCTTGCTGAAACACAAAATCTTGGCCGGATGTCAAACATTCTTCCATCACTGGTAAAAGCGACTTTTCTAAAATTGCCAAATATTTGTTTGTATCCACATTTCCATCAATAAAATGAAGTTTTCCTGGTCCTTTTGATGACATACTGCCCCAGACCATAATGTATGCTGGAAATTTCACTTTTCTCTTCAGACAGTCAACATGGAATGCTTCATTTTTTTTGCGAATAACTCTACTGCGACTGTCACCAACACAAACTTCGAATCGGGCCTCATCACTCCATTGTATTGCACACCATTGTTGAGGTGTCCATTGTCTATGTTCTTTAGCCCATCTAAGCCGATTTTTCTTTTGCAGTGGAGTTAATAGTGGCTTTTCTTTGGCCTATAAACAAGTTGTGCAACTTTAGGGTTTTTACTTCACTTTTTTTTATAAGAAAACTTACCTTGCAAGTGCTAAATCCCAGTTTGTGGGCCTCTCTATGAGTTGTGGACCTCGAAATTCTCCTTCCAACAGCGTCACTCCACAGAGCACTTAATTGTAAATAATTGGCATGCCTGTTTTTCACTATTTTTCTTCTTAATGCTCTTCGGTCGGCATTTGTGATATTACTTTTTTTCACATATCGTTGCTTAATATTAACTGAACCAGTTACGTTATATCTTCTAATAATATCTGTAACACTGTACCGCGATAAGTCTATCAAAGTTCATCAATTTCTGAGTTTGATTTCCCAGAATTAAAAAGATTAATTATCAGTAACCGAATTTTCTCACTAATAACCTTTCCTCTACCCATTTTAAAAACCTTGACTACACAAAACTATTTTAAACGTATTCTGACAGCTGTAATTAATAAAAACAATTGTCATGGCTTTTATTTTTCACAGACACCTATGCGTTATAGACTCATTTTGCATTGAAATGAAAATAGGTTGATATGCTGTAATTGCAACACGTGTTATTTTTATGCTGCAAATTTGATTAGGGAGTGATAAAGTTGGTGTTTTCTACTATATATTACCAAAATATTCATTGTTAATATTTTAAACCTGCTACATTTTTATTATTTGTGTTTGATAAGAAAAAAACTAAAATTTAAATAGTTAGGCCAACTGAAGTGGGAAGGGGCTCGTATTATACATTTCTGGAATCAGAATAAAACAGTATTCAACTATGCAAAAATCAAACATGACGTCGATTAGGAGAAATAAAATTGATACTGGAGAACAAGAGACGAAACGTCATACTGACATTCTAATTATAACATCTTGTAGAGAAGGAAAAGTACAACTGAAACTATATATGGTGTTCTACTAAAAACATTATAATGTAATATTGTATGTGAACATTTATGTTAGATCCTACAACTTTTGTATATAACGATTTCTAAAAACTCATAAAACGCTTATAGCAGGATACAGTACAACTTCATTGCGTATTGTGCGCGTGCCGTTTTTCGAAAAATTTAATCCCGCATCTCAAGTCTTACTTTAACCATTTCACGATCGTGACTACCAAATAAACTACGATGTTTTAGAGGCGCCACTGACTGAAAGTTGTAAAAGTTACCTAATTAGCCGCGTCTAATACAGCTTTCTAAGTAATGACAAATAGGCCATTATGGATATTACCTAGTTTCTATTAAAAAGTTTCCGTAGTGCAAGCTGCTTCAAAAGCTTTGCTTGCAATTAGGAACGGTTCTTGAAAGAAAATAAAGAGCGGCTTTTTAATAATAAAGGTTTCCTAAAAAACTATTAAAACGACCATGATATGAAAGTTGTCAAAGACCAGCGCAGCTTGTAAATTTGAACTGTCTTGTTTCTGCTTTTTGTGTTTCCTTCTATTAAGAAGCTGGTGTCGGATAGATGTTTGAAATAAAAACAAATATTTTTCTAGGAGTGTTGAAAAAATATGTCTATTATTTATTCATAGTCTAATCATTTGGAGGTTATTCCTGGAAAATTATTGGAATTGCTCTGGGAGCTGAATATTTTAATAGATTGCGACGAGTTTTACTGAATTTTCACTTCTTGCTCGCACTGAAAACTTGTTGCAATACATAACAGCAATAATTTTCGAGGTTTTCCTAGGAGAGTACATTTGCTCACACCGAACTACTCATCCCACAAAATGCTAAAAACGTGTACGAGATCTGTATATTAAGTAATGAGACTGGCAACGTAGCGTTCGATCTGGCAACACTGAAGGCGCCGGGCTTGGGGGGGGGTCAGGGGAACATGTAATTCGCCTTCAGTACAAGTTTGAACTCGCTCGAATCGTTTGGTTTTTGTAGCGACTTTGTTTTTTTATTGCGTTCTAAAGATGGGCTACGGTGTGCTATCAAGTTTTGCTTCAGACTTGGGCACAATGCAACGGAAATTCTTGCTTAACTTCAGCAGGCTTACGGATATAGTATTTTGTCAAGAGGCCAGGTTTTTCTAAGGTTTAAGTCATTTTCAGAAAAAATAGAGTCGAGAGTCGAAATCCTTCATCTTCAAGAAGCGATGAAAATATTAACAGAATCCGGGAGCTTGTACGTTCAGATCGTCGGTTGACAGAATAACCACCACCGATCATTAGATCAAGAACAACTAGACATTGTGTAGCTTCTCGCCTGACTTGAATCCATGTGTCT